AGCCACCAATCTCGTGTGCTGCTGGCATGGGCACAGCAGTGCACCCTGAGAGTGCAGCCCAGCTCTGGGCACAGCAGGAGGGGAGGAGAGCAGACTTGGCCTGAGCGCTTACAGGGCTGCTGGTCAGAGCCTCTGGGCATGCGGATAGGGCCTGTGCGGTCACCAGCACCCCCTGTGCTGGTGCAGGGCCTGACCCACGGAGCTGACACCATTTCCTGACCGCCTGGGCTGACAAGTTCTGGGCCCGGCCGGGTCACAGGGCAAAATGACCCGCCCAGCCTGACCCTGTAGGCCAGTGAGGTGGCCAGTGGGAGCAGAATTATTTGATGATAGTTGTATTAGAGATCTCAGAGAAATGGACCCCCTACTCTGAAAGTAGGGGGTCGGGGGAATGGAAAGGGACCCTAAAGTGTCCTCCAGTCAGGGACATCAGGCTTGTCTTGGTTCCTGGACTGTGGGAACTCAGCAAATGCTGAGCCGATGACAGAAGAGGTTGGGGCACTGAGGGCCACTGTGTGTGTGTGTGTGTGTGTGTGTGTGTGTGTAGTATTAGGGACTGAACCTGGGGCCTACACACTGAGCTGCATTCTCTAGCCTCTTTAAAAAATATCTTTTATTTAAGACAGGGTCTTACTAAGTGGCCCTGGCTGGGCTCAAACATTTTGATCCTCCCGTCTCAGCTTCCCAGAGTGCTGAGATGACAAACCTGTGCCAGCAGGGTTGCTCTCCATTTGCCTCCCTTCCACACGCTTATTTCTCTGAGTGTGCAGGCTTGGTGGCTCATCTTAGCATTTGGGAGACTGAGGCAGGAGAATCACTTGTGAATTTAAGCCCACTCTTCGCTACCCAGGGAGCTCAAGGCCAGCCTGAGCTGCATAGTGAGACCTTGTCTCAAAACAAAACAAAGCAAAATTAACATCTGGGTGTGGCGGCACACACCCATCATCCCCACTACACAGGAGGCTGAGGCAGGAGAATCATGAGTTCAAGACCAGTATGGGCCATTTAGCAATATGTTATTTTAAAACAGAAAGAAAGTACACTGAGGCAGAGTCCAGGACCCTTCCATGCCTGACCCATCCATTCTACTTCCGCACCAGGAGGACTTGGAGGCCAGGTGGCTTCATTGGTTGCTGGTCCCCACAGTCTCTCTACTGGGCTCTGGCAGGCGTCAGGTGCCCGTCACCTCTGCCTGGACCCGAAGGGCCAGATCTGCTCATGTTAGCACAGTCTCCTGCCTCATGTTTAAAGAACCAGGAGATGCGCCCCCCTCATGGCAGCCTCCCTTTGTGCCAGGGAGGGTCAGCTACTCCTCCGCCATGCTCCTCCTCCTCCTCCTCCTCCTCCTCCTTTTTCTCTTCCTCAGCCAGAATATCCCCATTAACCTTGCACCCTCTGCAAGGAAAATGTGTGACCAGCACAAGAAGCCGGCTGTTGATTAATTTTCCCAAATGAGGCCAAACTACAAAGCAGTACACTGCGGGGGCGGGGGGGGCTGAATAAATAGCACTGGACACCAATGTCAAGGGGCCCCACGGGGTCTGCCCTGCACTGCCACGCTGGGCAGCGGGCAGAACAGAGACTCGGACTCTTCTGCAGGATCCGGCTCACAGGTTCCCTTCCACCCCTAGCTCTTCCAGATGGATGGAGTTCAGGATGTTAATAGCTGGTGCCCTGTCTATAATGAGCGGGCCTTGGGTGGAGGGAAGCACTCACATCCGACCCCTGTTCAAGGAATGAAGACTCTGAGCAGGAGTGGCAGGCGTCCCCTGGCAGAGGCAGGGTGTGTGTGGGGGTCTCAGCCCTGCAGGATCCTGTGGGGTGCAGGGGGAAGAGAGGCCAGGAGGGATGAGGATCCAGAAATACCCATGTTGGGTGCATGGGAAGCTGAGGCAGGAGAGTTCAAGGCCAGCTTGGATGGTGTGGGGGTTTGAGGCCAGCCTGGCTATCTCACAAAACCTTGTCTCCAACAAAGAAGCCGCCCAAGTATGGACTTCCAGGTGTAGAGAGGACCAGGGCACCCAGGTCTGGCTGGGAGGCCCCTTGGAGACGGGGGCCATAGTGTGTGGCTGTCCTGCTGTGCTGAGGCGGTGAGTGCAGCCCTGAATGTGACATCTGGATGGTTAGCGTCCTGCATTTGAAGTGGGAGCTGGCAACTGATTCAAGTCACAAACCTGTAGAGCCTTGCACTGGCTATGTGTTCATGGCCTCTCTTTGCCTCACCTATTTATAAAAAAGGGCCTTGGGACTCCTCATGTCGAGGGCATGTGACCAGGCCCGAGCCTTGGCCAGCTGAAGCAAGTCTTAGAGGCCCAGGAGGATGCCCCCTTCCCGGCCCGCATCCTCACCACCCGCTCTCCTTCTAGGTTAAGGACCCGCTCCAGGTAGGAAGCTGTTCCGAGTGAGAGCTCAGGAGTCCTTCAGATGCATGTGGCTGCTGGGCCTCAGCCAGACACCTGCGATGTCTACAGCACATTGCCATGAGCAGTTAAGAACATTCCCGAGGCCTGCAGGAAACCCTTTATCACCTGTGCCGAGGCTAACATACCAAGGGTCTTCTGCTTTTAATTAGAATTAAATTAGCTCTGTGTGCCAGCCCAGGTAGCCTGAGCTGCTCAGAAACTCTGATTGGCCACAGGTGATATCACAGGCCAGGGTGTATCTGTCCAATATGGGACAGATCCCGGGCACCAGTGCAGAGTAACAAGTGTTTTCCAAGTTAAGAAACGTGGCAGGTGGAGGGCACTAAAAGAGGCCTAGGCAGTAAAGAAATGGGGAGGCTGCTCGGCTTCAGTGGCCATGGATGACTGATAAAGGGGGAAAGCTTAGCTATGACATAGTGCCCAAGCACGTCCACCAGAAGACTTGCACCAGCTGGCCACTGAGTCTGCCAAGGCACAGCTTGGCCCTGGTCCCATGCCCTGGACATGGGGAGTCCCAAGGTCCTTTTATAGAACATGTGAGGCAGAGAGAGACAAGTGACTTATCCATAAACACACAGCCAATGCAAGGCAGAGAGAGATTTGTGACTTCCCGGCAGGAAGTTTCATGGGACTCCTGCATGGCTGTCTTGGATCATGGGGCTCAGTTAGACATCAGGCCTGGCTGGGGGTGGGTGCGGGGCTGGGCGTACAGGCCACAGGGGGTGCCAAGGACCAAGTCTGCAGTTTCATCTCTGGTCTGAGCTCACAACCCTGTTGGCATCCAGTCCTTTCCCCCAGATGGTGGAGAGGTTAAAAGACCTGAATGCAGGGCTGGTTTGGGCCAGGAACTGGGCTGGAGCTGGGGGGATATGACTCAGCCCTGCAGCCAGGCCCCTGGGAGCCCACCTGGATGCCCTGTGTGGGTGAGGGCAATGGGACGCTTTCCTGGCTGGGGTCAGACAGGTGGAATGGTGGACCAGGCTCTGGCCTGAATTTCCCTTTTCCCACCAGCTACTGGGAGGCTCAGGTCAGGTGGGATCTTGCTTCTTATGTGCAGCGAGCCACAGGACCCATCCTAGCAGAGTTCTTGTGCATTTGCCAGCATTATTCATGGAATCCCCACTCAGCCCCAGGTTCCAAGCCACAGTGCTGCTGGAACCCAGAGAGATGCAGTCCTAGGTCTCACCAAGCTGCCAGTCCTGCTCAGGAGGAGGGCAGTAGATAAGTGGACAGCATACCCATCTGGCTGCCCAAGGGCAGAGACGGGGCCCCTCTGCGCACCTGGCAGGCCTGGCTCCCTTCATTCCCACTCAGCAGACATCTGTTGAATGGGCTCGTGTGAGACAGAAGCATATGACAGGTGCCCGGTCTGTCTGGCTCTGGCCACAGTGGAAGGCAGTGTAAGCACACAAACAGCTTGTTTCAATTAGATAGCATTTATTCAGGGCCCTTATGCACCAGGAGGGTCCTAAGGCTACGAGTGTAGACGTGAGTGAAGTCAGATCCACCTCCCCAAGTGCACGCTCCGGGTGGCCGGCCCAGCTCTCAGTATGTCAGGATGGCAGCTGCTGTCTGTGCATCCAAGTCCCACCAGGGCGGCGCTGGGGGACAGTGTCACGGGAAATAATGGAAGGGAAAGGACAGAGTCACAGATGTACACCCACATCTACAAACACAGATAAACAGGTGCAGCAGACACTGGATGTAGTGATGCACATCTGGAATCTCAGCACTTTAGGAGGCTGAGGCAGGAGATTACAAGTTTGCATGGCGCGAGACCCTGTCTCAAAAAAGACAAAAAAAAAAAAAAAACCACACACACCACACACACACATAAAACCCAAATACAACAGAGACCAATAGCACAAAGAAAGGTGTGTGGACCGACTGCCTAAGCCTGTGCAGACAAATGGAGATCTGCAGGAGGCCCAAATGGGGGTCCTCCAAATCAAAGAGGGAGCATCAGACTTTGGGTCCCAAGATGCCCCGAGAAAGGCCCGTTATTGGCTAGCCGCAATGTCAGTCAACAGAGGGTGACCAGTCAACTCCAGGCCTGCCTAGGGGGCACCACCCCTCTCTCTGGGCCGAGTTGCTGATAGAAAAATGACCTCTCAGAGCCTCCTGCTGCTCAAACCTTGGAGAGTTTTGTGTGCTCTTCTCGTAAGAGGTACTATCTTTGCACGAATAGTCAGTTTTTGGGGTGCTCCTCTAAGCACTGATCTACGCGTTTCACGTGTAACATTTAATGCTCTCAACATTCCCACGGGGTGGGGGCAGCGTTGTTCCCATCTTTCAGGTGCAGGGACTGAGGCTCAGCATGGTGAAGTAGATGCCCGAGGTGACAGGGTGAGTGGGACGGGAGCAGGACGATCACCAGTCCTGCCTGGATAATCCCAGCAAGTCTCCCACCTCATGGTCTTTAGTCACATCTGTAAAGTCTGCATGACTGCAGGTGACATGACTGCAGTCCCAGGGATTAGGACGCCGACATACTAGGCCCGGCAAGGGGGGGGGGGTGCTACCGAGTCACCCAGCGCAGGCCCATCTCTGACCCCAGCTTGCCCCCTGTCTCCCCAGGGAGAGGTTTGTGCCGTCCCCTGTGCCGCGGGCACCTACGGCCCCAACTGCTCATCCGTCTGCAGCTGTCACAACGGCGGCACCTGCTCCCCGGTAGACGGCTCCTGCGCCTGCAAGGAAGGTAACGTGCCCTGCACCAGCGCAGCCCAGCCCGGGCGCTGAGGGTCCCAGTCGTGCTGGGCCTGGGGAAGTGACAGCCCCTTGCTGCCCCTCAGGATGGCAGGGTCCGGACTGCGCCCTGCCGTGCCCCAGCGGGACGTGGGGCCTGAACTGCAATGAGACCTGCGCCTGCGCCAACGGGGCGGCCTGCAGCCCTGCGGATGGCGCCTGCACCTGTGCCCCGGGCTGGCTAGGGGACACCTGTGAGCTGCCCTGCCCGGTGAGTGCCCCTCCCTGGGGTTTACCAGCTCGGGAATGCACCAAGAGGCGCACCCTGACAAGTGGGGAACAGTGGAGTCGGGTCACAGCTGACCGTCATCCGCTGGGGTGCTGGGGTCGTTTTCCTCCTCCCTGTCTCCTGCAGCATAGCAAACCCCGGGCAGATGAAGTACCCAGTGTTACCCTCCCCGCCCCCACCTTGCAAGTGGCCACTGAGCCCCAGTTCCCGGAGTCTGTGCTTCCATGATCCAGGAAGGGGGTGGGGGAGGGACTAAGCCAAGCACTTTCCAACAATAACTACTCAGACTTAATCAATGGGTGTTGAAACCAATCCACGTGAGATTGAATGAGAGGCCATGGGCCTGAGGCTCTGGGTTCAGATCCTGCCTTGGCTGCATCCTCATGGCCATTTTCCATCCTTAAATCAGAAATACCGGGAACCAGGTCAGAGATTGCTGCAGGGACCACGCGAGTCAGGATAGGAGGCTTTCACAAGCACACAGCAAATGGGGGTCACCATTTTTTTCCCCAGCAACCACTCATTCCTTACATGGCCCCAATCAGTAAGGTGCATTTTCATTTCAATTTAAGTTAACGATCCTCATGACCCAGGGCCTAGGCCTTTAAAAGTGGGGCAAGACCATCACCTCCCTGGCTGCAAACCAACCCTCATGGCCTGTTAACGCAGCCAGGTGGGTGGCTCAGCTTCATCATCGAGTGTCTGATGCTCTGGGAGATTCTGATCATTCTTCCTTCCTCCTCCCCTCCCTCCTCCCCTCCCTCCTCCCCTCCCTCCTCCCCTCCCTACTCCCCTCCCTCCTCCCCTCCCTCCTCCCCTCCCTCCTCCCTTCCCTCCTCCCCTCCCTCCTCCCCTCCCTCCTCCCCACAGGATGGCACATTCGGGCTGAACTGCAGCGAGCGCTGTGACTGCAGCCATGCTGACGGCTGTGATCCCATCTCAGGCCACTGTTGCTGCCTGGCTGGATGGACAGGTAACCCCTCTGCCGGGCCCTGTGTACCCCAACTCTTGCTGTTCTCCTTTGATATGTTTCTTCTCACTCCCTAAATCTGTGCTGACCTCCAGTCCTGCACGGGCACTCGGGCCATTTGGTAGAGACTGCTGCGAGGAAGAAGGCAAAATGCTTTGTCCTTGGCCCTGCTGCAAGGGTCCTGGGGCCTGTGTCCATCTCCAGCCTGCCCCTTAACTGCCAGAGAGCCACCCCTCTGTCCCTTAGTCCACCTCGTGGTCCACCTGCCGGTCACCAGGTCTCACCCACCACTGCCTCTTTGGTCTCACCTCCCCCCTCCCCACCCCCTCAGTTCTGCCCCTGGTGGCTGGAGCAAGCTTCTAGAACTTCCTCAGAGACCCTCTGGGGTTTCCTGTGACTCACAGACAGCGTATGCCTGGCTCAGGTCCCTGCCCAGCTCCTTCAACTCCTGCCACCTCTGTCACTCACTCCAGCCACCAGGGGCAGCCTTTCCTTTTCCAATCACCTCTGGAGTCCAGGCCTCTGCATGTGGTGGCCTCTGCCTGAATCATTCTTTGCCACTCTCACCCTGTGATCCCTCCTCCGGTGATTGTAGGGGTCAAATCGTGCAAGCGCCCCACCACTGAGCCACACCCCAGCCCTGCTATCTCCTTCCAGTCCACCAGGTTTCAAGAGCCTTAGAAATGGCTCCCTATAACAAACCCATACCACAGGGCCAAGGCTCAAAAGCTGTTTATTGTCCTGCTACTCTGTACTTGCCCTTTGGTAGGACTCACCATCGCTGGCCTTGACCTCTAATTTAAGTGTTTACTAACTGCCTCCCTAATTTGACCGTGTGCCTGGGAGGCATCTGCCTTGTTCATCACTGTGTCCACTGCCCTTGTGATATGGATAACAACCTGGTTATGACCAGAACCGGCGGCCTGGGTCTGTGAGCTGGGAGGGTCCTCCAGCCTCTCAGAGCCTGATTTCTGCATCCACACAATGCAGCCGGTTATCATCCTCCCAGCCAACAGCAGGGTGGCCCTGACACTGAGATGAGTTGCTCCCCTGAAGTGCTAACAGCCTGGCACACACTTAAGTGCTCGGTTGTGGCAGCCACCAGTGCAGGAAGTGCTCGTGACAGTCCATCGAGTGAATAGACCCGCCAGCCAGGCCCAGCAGTGTAGTTCTCAGATAAATAATGAACACTGGTTTCTGTTCTCCACAACTGGGAAGTTTCCAAGCAGCCGAGGCCAGGGGGACTTTTCTCCGTGACTAGGGACAGCTCCTGTCCGGCTCCTTGCCCACTGGCTGCCGCCCCTCATTGCAGAATGAGCTGCAGCCTGGTCACTGTGGTCCTAGCTCTCAGCAAGAGCCGAGTGGGAATCCACTTGACGTCCACATTGCTTTAATTTCAAGTGAGCAGATCAGGTTTTCATGACATCGGCTGCTTAAAAATTCTGCCTTTGATGGACAACCTTTCAGCGCAGCCTCTGCTGTTCTGAAGCCGCTCTCCCCAAGTGGTCCCCGAAGGCTTTTCAAAGAGGCGATTGCGGTCTCGGTCTCCTAGAGGAGGCGAGGAGGAAGGGGAGGGAGGCCTGGGCTTCCCACTGTGAGCCCCTCCCACTCACCGCCCACCCGGCTGCTTTAGATCGTGTGCTCCCAAAAACTTCTTGTGCTCAGAGGAGGGGCTTTTAGACGATGACGAATCATGAGGGTACTCTGCTCATCAGTGGACTCCCCACTGATGAATTTATAGTGGAAGGGCCTGGCTGGGGTGGGTGGGGGGCGTGTCCTGGTGAGAGGAGGCGTGTCTAGGGCGTGTCCTTTGTGGGAGGGGCAGTCCCTGGAGCGTGTCCCAGTAGGTGGGTGTGTCCTGCTGAGAGGAGGCGTGTCTAGGGCGTGTCCTTTGTGGGAGGGGCAGTCCCTGGAGCGTGTCCCAGTAGGTGGGTGTGTCCTGCTGAGAGGAGGCGTGTCCCTGGGGTGTGTCTCAGTCTCTGGCCCTCCCTTGCTGCTCAGGCCACCTGGATGGGAACAGCTTTTTTGTCCACCACGCCCCACTGCCTTGAGCCAAGTCAGCCATAGACTGAAACTAAACTAAAATCCTCTTGAAATTGTGGGTGTTGGCCATTGTATCTCAGGGACCAGGACAGTGACTAAGAAGAACCTGCCAAGAAGTATCAGTGCTTCCCCACCACTGCTCTCCAGCTCACACCTTGGCTCCTAGCAGTCACATGCTGGTCACCACCTTTCTCCCATAGCCACCTCTGGTGACGATGAGCATTATGGGAGCTCAGCTGTCCTGCTTATGCAAGTTGTTCACTCCGTACTTAGTGAAATACAGTGGTCCCTGCGGACGGTGTATGGTCTTTCCCCAGATGCAGAGATTTAACTAAATCTGCCCCAACTTTCCATGCTCCAGATGAGGAAGCAGAGCTGCCCAAGGCCTCAGGACTTAAGTGTCAACAGGATGGGAGCTGCAGGATTGCATTTTGTGGGGAACCCATTTATTTACTCATCTAACATCTCTTAACTTGGGCAATCACTGAGTATTTATTTGGCAGCTACTATGTGCCCAGCACTGGGCCAGGATCAGCAGCAAACAGCAAAATTCAGCGCCATCCACAGTCCTGAGCTCAGCACCTACTGTGGATCACACAAAGACAAAGCTGGTGGCTTCTGCCGAGGGGGAGCACCTGCCTGGTGAAGCAGCCTCAGTGTGTTAGTGAGCTGTGGTCCTTGCCATCACAGTGCTGGTGGGGAGAGAAAGGCTTCATGCAGTAAGCTGTGTGCCATGGCTGTGACCCCAATTTTTGACTCCCCAGGCAGATACGTAGGAAGGCTGTGTGGAAGAGGTGTCTACATTAAGCATGAGGGACCACAGTGTTACCCACAAATAATTGCGTCTATGCATGTGTGTGGGGAGGGTTCTTTTTTTTTTTTTTTTTGTCTTTTTCCTTTTTATCGGTACTGGGGATCAAACTCACGACTGCCTGCTTTCAAGGCAGGCACTTATGCCGCTGAGCTAAACCCCCAGCCCCCAGTGGGGAGGGTTCTTGAAAGAGACTTATCATCTCTATTATAGAAGAAACCAGGAGCCAAGGAATTAATGATGATGATGCTGCTGCTTTAGGAGTAGGATGCTCCCTGCACACTTGCAAGGATAGCCCCTTTTTGGTCACAGGAGAAGTCCCTTTTGACCTGAGCACTCCTTGACTGCCCTTCCAGTTAGATCCCAATGTCTTAGACTGTAGGGAGCTCACAGGACAGAGCAGGACCCCATACAAGAGCCCCATCCCCCAGAGCCAGGCTCAGAATATAACTGCATGGTCTTAGAACCCGGCAGGACCCTGCAGCTGCGTGCAGTCTGGACAGAATCAGGGTGCCCTTGCAGTTTTCAGTATCTAAGGAAAAGGAGCCCTTGGTATGCACGCCTAGCGGCACCCACATTTGGGAACCGTGGAGGCTGAGGATTTCGTGGTGCCTTTGTTTACCTTGTCAAGTGGGTTCCAGTCATAGGGTGGTGTCTCTTTAGATGAAATCGGGTACGTTCAAGTTGGTATGTCCGTAGATGGTGATGTCTGTGTGCAGCCTGGCTGCCTTGGTCAGGCTGTAGAGACTGCTTGGATCCCCATGGGAGAGCCACGTTGTGTCCCTTTGCCGTGATCTCAATCCAGGGTTTTTAACAAACACTGCAAAAGCATTGCATAGGATGATCCTGGCTGTCGGTGTGCATTCTTGGGGTCTGTACCAAAGGATTCAATCAATGGTTGATTGAAAATATTGTTTTAAAAAATGAATTTCCTCATGGTGGCACATGCCTATAATTCTAACACTTGGGAGGCTGAGGCAGGAGGTTTACCATGAGTTCAAGGCTAACTTGGGGTACATAGTGTCATACACAAAAAAAAACTTTTTCACCTGTACTAAGGTGTACAGACTTTTCTTATCACCCCCTAAAGAATACAGCAGAGTAATTACTTGCATAGCGTTTACACTGAATTAGGAGTTATAACTAGGGATAATTTAAGCCATACTGGAGGCTTCTGTGTAGGTTCTAGGCAGCTACATGGCATTTTGGTGTCCCTCACAGATACCGAGGCTGATTTGTTGGAAAGGGAGAGCCTTGAACACCCATCCCAAACTCGAAACAGTTCTGTGGCTCCCTTAACCCTCGGTGCCTGTCCAGGGTTCCCCTCAGGCACCCTGACTCCACAGGAGAGACCCCCATTGAAGGGTGAACATAGGGCCAACAGATGCTCACAGGAAAGAGACCTCACTCCCTGGAGAGGAGCTCCAGCCTTGTTTCCCAGAGAGACCTCTGAAGCTGCCACCCTGCTGGGAAACAGACGTTCCGGGATGGGGACCCCATGGTGGGTGGGGGGGCAGTGTGGACCAAACGGAAGGCAAGGAGACCTGGGCACCGCCCTCCTCCTCTGAGGCTGGGCCTTCGAGATCCCAAATTGGTCCTGCTGCTAGGCTGGGGATTGGTTCACTGGCTCTTTCTCTCAGGCTCTGTCCTTGTAACAAGGCAGATGTGATTTTATAATTAATTCTGCTCGTTTCCAGGCCTCTCTTTTTCTTTCTTTCTTTTTTTTCTTTTTTTTTTTTTGTCTTTTTCGTTTTTATTGGTACCAGGGATCGAACTCAGCACGACTGCACACTTGCAAGGCAGGCGCTTATGCCACTGAGCTAAATCCCCAGTCCCTTCTGGGCCTCTCCAAAGACCTCCTCCCAAAGCCTGGCAGGTCCCCCTGGCCCTGCGTCCTGTTCCCCTAAAGCACATCAGCCTGCGAGGGACCCCAGCCCAGCTGTGGGGAGGGGTGCGCCTGGCCCAGAACCCCTTAATGTCTCCCTTAGCCTGCTGGCTGAGTCACTTCTTCCTCCTGAGCTCTGAGAGCTGGAGCTGGAGCCTGAGCTGAGCTGCGGTCTCTGAGGTATTCCATCCACTCCCCCACAGATCGCTCTTTGTTAAACCAAGGGGCCTTAAATCAGCTGGTTGGATTACAAGTAGCATTTAAAAAAAAATAGTAGGCTCTGTTACTCCTATGTGTGCATGACTCCGTGGAATATAAAATACGTCTCTCCCTGAAGACCGTGGTCAAAAGACCCCTCATTCTCCACTGCTGCATACCCTAGAAGAGAACTCACTTCTGTTTGTTTATTTTTGGTTTTCTGGGACAGCTATATAGCCCAGGCTGGCCTCAACCTCGTCCTTCTACCTCAGCCTCCCGAGGGCTGGGATTATAGGTGTGCGCCCCCACACCTGACTGTAAGGCTTGCCCTAGAGGATTTCCGTCAGGTCAGGCCTGCTCTTGCTGGCAGCTAAACTGGCAAAGACAGAACCCTTCGCTGCCTGGTCCCATCTCCGTTCCGGTCCCTTGTCTTGCTTGGACGCATGCAGCCCTCAGGGTTTGGCCACGCAGTACTGCCCCCTGCCCCCTGCCCTTTGCATATCTGGCTTCCTTTGCCCACCCAGCGCCTTGCTGTCTTCTGTCTGGGCACTGCTGCTTCCCGGGAGTCCTCCCTCCCCGGCTTCTGGGTCTCCTCTCAATGCTGTCAGACCCTTCCTGCCACCCCTCCTCTGACCCCAGCCTATCTCTGGCCCCCAGGCGTCCGCTGTGACAGCACATGCCCAGCCGGCCGCTGGGGCCCCAACTGCTCTGTGTCCTGCAGCTGTGAGAATGGTGGCTCCTGCTCTCCGGAGGACGGAAGCTGTGAATGTGCCCCCGGCTTCCGAGGACCCCTGTGCCAGAGAAGTAAGGGCCTTCCCGGAGACCTCAGCAGCCCATGCGGCTGACCCTGCCCAGCTGGAGCCTGGTCTGACCCCAGCGGGACCTGGCTTGTCCCTCCTGTTCACCCCCTCTGTCCCTCACCTGGCTGTTCTGTCCCCAGGTTCATGGCTCAGCCAGGCTTGCTTCTTAGTAGAAACAGGACCAGGTCACAGTTCCTGTCTCTCACAAGGCTCGGGCCCTGCCTGGTGTGAAGGAACCACTCTCCACACACTGTCAGAATGGGGATGTGGGGTGGCTGGGCTGGCTGGGGCCCCTGGGACTGCTGACACTGTCCCCCCCTTCCTTTTCAGTCTGTCCCCCTGGCTTCTATGGACTCAGCTGTGCCCAGCCGTGTCCCCTCTGTGTGCACAGCAGTGGGCCCTGCCACCACGTCAGCGGCCTCTGCGAGTGCCTCCCGGGGTTCTCTGGAGCCCTCTGCAACCAAGGTACTGTCTCGGACAAGGAGGGGACAGGGTAGGGGATGGGGGCCCTAGAGAGGGATCCTCATGGAAAGGGTATGCTGTGAATGCAGCTCCTTTCAAGGACAGAGCGCCACCCAGGGTGACAGAGGAACAAGTGACATGTATATCTCACATTAGCTAGGAGTGGGGACATATTCAGGCTCCTATCCCCTAAAGGAAAGGAAAATGAACCAGCATAAATGAAATGCACACCAGAAGTGGTGCCTGGTGATAAAGGCTCCAGGACAGTGTAGGAGCCATCATCACAGACACCCTCACCCCACACCCTCCTGGCTCAGCCTCAGAATCCTTCACACCAATCCCAGGGCAGTGCGAAGCTGGGGACAGCTGCAGTGGCCGTGTGGAAGGAGGAGGAGGAGAAAGGCATTCATCCCGGCTGGGACAATGGTGCCAGAACTGGCCTGTGTGAGGCCCAGACCCAGGGATGTGATGGCTGGAGATGAGGGCACTGGGGTCTTTAGAAAGGGCTCTGAACATAGCCTTGACCTGCAGCTCCCAGCATTTACACCCCAGCCTGCAAAGGGCACAGGTCTTTAAGGTAAGGTAAACAGAGCAGCAAAAGGCACCATCAAGGTCAAGATCGCCGAGGCAGGAATCTCCCAAGGCCCCTGCTCAATCCTTTCCTTGACTGAGCACTCACCACCTCCCCAGGGAGCCCCTTCTTTGGGTGAATAATCGATGATGCTGAGCTGGGCTGTTTAGGTCACAGGGCTGTTAATATGTATGAGTGGAAGTTTTGCTCCCGCAGCTTTGAGGTCATGAGACGTATGGGCCCCAGGGAGATGTATGTGACAGTTTCATTTGCTTGCAGCCCTCCTAGGACAGTTTAATCATCACCTGACTTGAGGAGGTTTACTTATTAAATGTAGGAGACCTGGCCGTCGATACAGCCAGGCCAGGTCTAAATTAGGGCCCCGGCAGCCCGCGGAGTCTTTCCCCCACCCCTTGCTGTCTGATTTATCGCCCACTGGCCTAATGAGACTTTTCCACGTATAGATCTAATAGAGTTTGCTATTAATGCCAACTGCCCTGGTGAAGTCTCAAACCTTGTAAAAAATTGAACTGACACTTCCTAATGACTGGCTTTCCAGCGAGTTACAAATTACAGACGCTGCTTCTCCAGAATCATTAAACCTAGATTAAATATAACCAGATGTTTTCTTTTCCCCAGCCCCTGCTCACTCTCCCCACAACCCTTTCTCTTTGGCTGACTCTCGATTCGGCCAAGAAGTCAACCAATTTATGTATCAGGTTGCTGGAGTTCGCAGCTCCACGGTGCCTCTGTCAGCAGAGAGGAGTGGTGCAGAGATGCCATTGTGCCCCTAGGCTCAGGCTGGTGTGGGGGTGGCTGAGCCTCTCTGGCACCCTGCTGGCCACAGAGAGTGAAGACTGGAGGTGGAGTCCCCAAATCCAGCACCTCCTAGAGGCAGCAAAGAGGCCAGAGGACTCCTGAAGTACAAGACAGGAGAGGGATTTTCTCGCATTTTCTCGAAAAGGCCGGGTCCAGCCTGTAGGCGTGAACCGCCCCCACCCCCTGCTCTGAAGATGAGGAACAGGCAGGGAGGTGATGAGGTTTGCTCAGAGGAACTTAGAAAGCATAGGACTCCTGGCTGTGTGACCTTGGGCGAGTTGCTTAAGTTCTCCATGCTGCAGCTTCCTCGTCTGTAGTTCACGCTGAGAAGCAGGGAGGAGACTGTGTAAGAGCATTGAAAGATGAAGTCAGCTAATATTCATGGAGCCCTCTGATTCATGGAGCCTGGTGCATACGGACCTGTGTTCGTTGAAAGGTGCAGAAGTGTTTGGAAGATGTGTGTGGTCCGTGGTCCATGTGGCTGGGAAGGAAGTGAGGCTGTCAGGGTTAAGTGAGGTTAAGTGCTGGACTCTGAGATGCAGAGATCTGTCCTGGGTTAACGGGGAGCCACTAAGGCTGTCGGAGCAGGACACAGGAGTGCCACAAAAAGGGTGCATTTTAGCCCATGCTGCAGCAGCAGGGGGTGTGGAATACAGGCAGCCAGAGATAGGCAGGTGCCCTGCTAACGCTCAAGCCTGGTCCTAAAGGCTCGCAGCCTGATGGAGGGACGCAGGAGCAGCGCAGTAGGGACTGAAAGCTACAGCAGAGCCTAGGGTAGACACAAGGACACGGGTTTCCTTGGGTGGGGGGATGCTGAGCGGGGGCTTGGGGAACAGAGCGGTGGACAGGTGGACAGGGGCATTCCTAGCCAGTCCTGCAACACTCAAAGCTGCAGGCAGAACTGACACGTGTAGCTGGACCCCCTTCCAGGCGTGAGCGGTTTCCCATCCAGTGGCTTTGGCCTTGTGATGCAGGCAGGGGGAGCAGAGATAAGGAGCACTGGACCGAGAGTCCAGGGGTGAGATACTGAGCCCTGCCACTCCCCTATGGGACCTAACCAAGTGATTCTTCCTCTGTAGCTCGCAGCCAGAGGGACATGAGAGGGGACACTCATTTATTTGCAAATGAAGAGGCATGGTGGGTAGGGTGGCCCAATGGGTAGTTCCCATCCAAATTCCTGACTCCAGGGTGGTCGTAGCTGTGGCCCAGGAACCTCTGGGGCTAGAGCTGCTGGTGGTGGTCTAAGGAGCAAGGGCTGGAGGGCAGGTGCTAGGCTGTCCTGTGCTCACAGTGTGTGCCGGAGGGCACTTCGGGCAGGACTGTGCCCAGCTGTGTTCCTGTGCCAACAACGGGTCCTGCAGCCCCATTGACGGCTCCTGCCAGTGCTTCCCTGGATGGATTGGCAAGGACTGCTCCCAGGGTAAGCTGCTACCTCCACCCTATCTGCCACCTCTAGGGCTGAGCCCTCCTTCTGCAGGTAGGAAAGCCCACCTGAGTCCCAGTGAGCTCCAAGAGCAGACTCGATGTGTGTCTGGGGGTGACCACAGCTAGTAGCCACTGCTGGCGTGAGGGCACCGTACTGCTGGCAATGCTAATGCCAGCCATTAATACGCCATCAGCACCCACAGCAAGGAGCAGCTGGGTTCCCTGGGTTCCTCTAGGGAGGAAGGGACAGGTATTTGCATGTAGGAAGTGGCCTTGTGGGAGACTCCTATGGTCCATTTCCTGGGCCTCAAGCCTGGGCAGGGTGTCCCAGGGGCCTGTACTGTAAGCTACACCCAATCTGACACAAAGGTATGTCAGGCCAGGCCAGGGAGTGACTCCATCCCCCAGAGTGGGACGCCTTGTCTGATGGGCGGGAACCACCAGCTGGTACCTGCAGGAGGCCCCAGTCAGGTGGTGTGGCCTGAGGGGAATCCCTTCTGCTAGGGAGACTCAGGCTCCATCCTTGGGGGCTCCGCAGCCCAGAGAAAGCCTCACCCCCTGGAGGAAGTTAGTACCCAGTGTATGCCCACCTCAGTCCTCACAGAGAGCAGGGCCAGGAGCCTCAGAGCCACACAAAGTTAGTCCCCAAAGTCTCTGAGTGGCAGAGAATTAGGGTTTAAGGGGAATCCTAGGTGATGTGACCCAGTGAGCTCAAGAAATCTGGGATCAGTGTCAAGCCCAAGTACTGTCACCCAGGGCCTCCTGGGAAGTGGCTCTGACTTTCTCTCCCTGCTCTGCACCCTACTTACTCCCCAGCATGCCCACCCGGCTTCTGGGGCTCCGCCTGCTTCCACACCTGCAGCTGCCACAACGGAGCGAGCTGTAACGCGGAGGATGGGGCCTGCCATTGCGCCCCAGGCTGGACCGGACTCTTCTGCACGCAGCGTAAGCCCCGCCTCCCGCTGCTCCGATGCGGGTGCCCAGTGTGGTGCTGCGGCCTGCTGGCCGCTGTGGGCATAGCCTGCGGCAGTGAGGATCCCCAAGATCACCACGCCACGGCCCTCCTTGGACGGTGGGAGGGACGGCCCGTGGCTGTGCAGCAGAGACCTGAGCAGACTTCGGTGTGCAGGGCCCTTTGCTCTCAAGGCCACCCGGCTACCCCTTGCCCTTCAGCACGAGGCTCCAGAGGGTGGCGCTGGTTTGAGTGGCCTCACCACGTGCTCGGCTGCCCTCTGCAGTTGTGCTGGGCCTATAGCAATGCCTGTGACCAGGGGCCATGTTTCTCCAGGTTGCCCAGCAGCGTTTTTTGGCAAGGACTGTGGGCGCGTGTGCCAGTGTCAGAATGGTGCCAGCTGTGACCACATCAGTGGCAAATGCACCTGCCGTACGGGCTTCACTGGACGCTACTGTGAACAGAGTAAGCTGCCAAGGCCCTGTCCTGGCATCAGTGCCAGGCCTCAGCCTCCTGCATGGAGGGTGGGGTCCTTTGTGCTGCTAAGGCCCCTGTCACACCCAGCCTAGGGCTTGGCACTCGTGCAGCATGAGAAGCAGGGGTGGGCGCCTCTCCTGCTCTGCCCTGTGCCCTCTCACCTAAGGACTACTGCTGGGCACACAGAGAGAAGTGGCTTTCTCACTGCCCGCTCACCCTCCTTATGCCACACAGGATGTGCCCCGGGAACCTTCGGCTATGGGTGTCAGCAGCTGTGCGAGTGCATGAACAATGCCACCTGCGACCACGTCACCGGCACTTGCTACTGCAGCTCTGGATTCAAAGGCATCCGCTGTGACCAAGGTAGTGCACGGTGGCACAGTGCCTGGGGTGTGGGGAGAGGCGGGCGTCACCGGCACTGTCCCCAGGCTCATCCTCAGCAGGGCTTCCGTAGCCCAGCAAGAGCACCCACAGCCTTGCAGTGGGAAGGTCACCGGCCAGGTCTTTATCTCACATCCAGTCACACTTGTTCCTCGTCACAACCTTCAACTCCAGCCTCTTTTAGGCAGTTGAAAAAACTGAGGCAGAGTGAAGCTTGAGGTCAAACAGGGATGGAAGCAAAGGGCCAAGACCAGAACCAGGTCCCCACCCTGGAGGGTGAGAGGCACCCAGCTCTGCCCCGGTCCTCAGAAGAGCTCAGGCCCTGCCTGCCTCCTGCTCTGTCCGCAGCCGCTCTCATGATGGAGGAGCTGAACCCTTATACCAAAATCAGCCCTGCCCTGGGTGCGGAGCGGCAGTCGGTGGGCGCAGTCACAGGCATCATCCTCCTGCTGTTCCTCCTGGTGGTGCTGCTTGGCCTGTTTGCCTGGCGCCGGCGGCGACACAAAGAGAAAGGCCGGGAGCTGGCCCCTCGGGTGTCCTACACCCCTGCCATGAGGATGACCAGCACCGACTACTCCCTCTCAGGTGAGGGCGCCACCACGCCAGGAAGAGACCTGGTATCCTCGGGTCACAAGGGGTCCATGGCTGGGTGCAGTCCCCCCAGGGAGCCAGTGGGGTGGGGAGGAGCTTACCTGGGAGAGGTCTGTGGGGTTCCCCCAGAGTACCCCATCCCCCCAGCACATCTGCCTCCCACGCCACTGCTGCACCTCAAGCACAGGGCCCTGGGGTCGGGGCTCAGGCTCTGTGCATTTCTGCTTTGCCAGCGAAGCTCAGCAAAGGCTCGGGCCAGCCCTGTTGGAGACAGGAGCCTCTCACTGCAGGAAGAGGGTGGGACCTGACTTGGGAGCAGTCTGCAAGGCGGGGACGCTGGCCTGGCGGGTGTACCAAGCCAGCTTTGTGCACAGACAGAAAATGCTCTGAAATTTCCCATGGTCCTGGGCCCTAGTGGGCTGCCTGGATGAACAATGACAGCAGCTCCTGCAGTGGGCTTGAGGGTGACCTACAGCCTCCCACACCTGTGCTCAGCCCTGATCGCCTCAGCCTGCTGCAGGCCAGCTCTGGGCCACCACAAGAGTGGCAGGATCTGGTGGCCCAGGTACAGACTTGGCCTGCAAAGAGCTCCAGGACTGTGTACCCCATCTGCACCCCCACCCCATTCTAAAAACCAGTGTCCGGCTGGTTTGCACACCACTCCTCCTATTCCTGGGCCCTTTAGAAAAGCAGGGGGAAAGGGTGGGAGCCCACAAGAGTGGGGTTCTCCTTATGGACGTTTACTGGGTCTGACCCTTGGGGGAAAGAGGGGAGCTCAGCCCTGTACAGTGATATTCCAGATGCCCTCTATCCTGGCATTTGCAGGCTGGCACCTGGCACGGGACAAACCAGTTCCTCCAAATTCCTGCTGGGGTAGTGGACACCAGGAAGCTGGGGCGGGAGACTTGGCTGCTCTGTGCAGTGTCCTCTCAAGGCTGCCCAGCCCAAGCGTTAGCTTCGGGGATGTCTAGCCCAGGGCAAGCGGATGATGGAATATGGCACCTTGTTCTCTCCCCAGATTTGTCTCAAAGTAGCAGCCACACCCAGTGCTTTTCCAATTCCAGCTACCACACACTGGCGTGCGGGGGGCCTGCTACCAGCCAGGCCAGCACTCTGGACAGGAACAGCCCCACCAAGGTACCGGGCCCCTGCTTCCCAAGCCCCTGTCCACTGCCCCTCCTGTAGCCCTCTGCCATGCCCAGGCAGGAAGTGCACCCCCCATGCAGGGTCCGTGGCAAACCAGCACATCAAGAACAGCCCCTGACTCACAGGACACATGTAGGCTGGTAGGGAGAAAGCACGTCATATGCAGCCACCAGGCTGATGCCGTGGAGCTGGTGAGCATCACGGCAGCACTCAAGGTGACATACCCCTCGCTGTGTGTAAGCAGCTGGGAATCCTCAGAGAGAGACTTCTCTATACCTAACCAATATACCAGTCACTTCTGCCACACGTCCACACACGCAGCCACAACACGGTCTACCCGCCACGAGGTTCCGCAGCCATAAGGAGGTGTGCAACCAGCATTGCGCAGACTAAGCACCAGCACTCAGGCACCACTGTGTCTTCAACTTGGACAAAACATAGATCAACACCCGTGGGGTGTGGAACCCAAAACAGCTACAGCCAGCACCCCATGTACAGGGCCTTCCGCAATGGCTCCAGCTCCGAGCTTGGCCTGGTGTCCTGTTACAGGGCTGCAGACTGGGGGGAGCTCTGCACACAGACATGGTGATATGCCAGGACCAGGACCAGGGAGAGTAGGAGATGGGGAAATAAGAGCAGCCCCTCGGGCCCACTTCCTGCCACTCCTTGTTCTCCCCAGGCCTCCCGATGATTTGCTGTGACACCCACCCTGGGCCAGGCGCATAGCTTGCCTGAGTTTAGGAACCCCTTCCTCCCTGGCTGCCCCGCCAGCCCAGAGAGCAGGCTTCCTCCTGCAGACACAGCAGCAGTCTCAGGCTGCAGTTTCAAGGGCTGTGCCCCTGGCCATCCTCAGCCATTTTCCTGTGAGATGCAGGGGCTCCCCAGGGCCTTCAGAGGCACCAAACAGCCCCCCAGCTCTGGCCATCCTTCCTGTGCATCCCTTCCACTCAGACCCATTTCTGGCTTGCAGAGCAGGGGCCTGAGAGGAGGCCTTTACAGCCAGGTTACCCAGTCTTAGTGGGGGACACCAGCCATCCTGTCAGCAAGAGGCCAGTTACTGCACAGTAGCCCACTTAGTGACACCTGGCTCGGCTCACCTCAGCCCAGGGCCCCTCAGTCTGCTAGGCAGGCAGGGTCACCCTAACAGAGGCAGGTGGCCATGACAACACCGAAGCCTTCCATGTGAGAATGCGGAGGAAGGGCTGTCCCGGAGGGCTTCCCAGTGGTCAACAGCAAGGGCAATACTCTCACTGGCCTGGGTCAGGTGGCAGAAGTGGCCTTGCTGCAGGCAGCCACAGTATGTCCCTGTGCTGGCCAGGGCCTTACATGACAGCTGAGACCCCACCAGAGCATCTTAATTAAGCCTCCACCTAGCTTCCTGCTGCCCATGAGAGGCAGCCTGGATCAGGGAGTTCTGTCACCAGAGACCCTGCTCCTGTCCATCTTCAATATGAGGGGCCTGGGAACCCAGAGCTTTGCCCAGGCAGCTTGGCTAGGGCTCAGCCGCCATACGGTGGCCTGTCATGGGCCATCAAGTCCTCTCCTGCCTCAGTGGTTCAGGGCCTAGGTAGGGCAGGATCACTGAGGCTGGGCTGAGTGATGACTGGGGAGGGGGTCTGGGCACTAGGTTTTAACTGCCTGTCCTCTCCAAACAGCTCAGTACCAAGTCCCTTGACACAGACACAACAGGCTGGACCCCCTACAGCTATGTGAACGTGTTAGGTCAGTAGTGCCCACCCCACCCTCCCCTACTGAGGGGCCCTGGTCCAGCTTGAAGGGAGAGGGTTAGGGTTACAACTATTGAGTATGGTTTCCTCCAGGGCAAAGGGCTACAGGGAGGAAAGCCAGGCCTCACTCTTGGCTCATAAATAAGTGAAAGCCCTGAACCCCTTCATTTCTACAGCGGGACTACAGTGGGTGGTTCTGGCCCCGAGGGTCAAGGGAGGCAGCTAGGGCTGGGCTATGGGGACTCCTGCTGGAAGTAAAGGGTGCACTCACCCTCTGGGAAGGGGCCCCTGGCGCGATCCAGGGCCAGTGAAGGGGTACTTTCCAGGGCTTTCTGCCCCTGTCCTGCTGTGGAGGGGGGTAGTGGGAGGAACCAAGGCAGAGGCCCGTCTCTGCCAGCCTCGGCCCTGCAGATGCTACCCAGCGGCCTTGGTCTTTTCGAGGTCGCCCCACCCTGACCCCATCCCCTTCTCCTGCCATACCATGCCCTGGGAATAATGGCTCCTCCCTGTCATTCCTCTCACTAGACTCCCATTTCCAGATCAGTGCTCTGGAAGCCAGGTACCCGCCTGAGGACTTCTACATTGAATTTAGACACCTCAGCCGTCCCGCTGAGCCACACTCACCAGGTCAGACCCCCACCCGCCCCTCCACTCCTCAGACCAGACCCAGCGACCTGCTGCCCGCCGCACCCTTGCTTCCAGAACCCTCCAACTCGGTTCACCCACCTACCCAGTGCCCTCACGCAGGCAGTTGCTCTGAGTCTTCCCATCACTCTGTGGCCAGGCGGTGTGGACAAACTGAGCACACATTAGGTGAAGGAACACAACAAACACACTCTGCCACACACAAAACTACAACCCCTGACCACTGAGAACCAGCCAGGGAGTGCACCTCAGAGAGGCGGCACCAAGCCAGAAAGTCCCCATGTCGCCCGGAGACCCCAGACCCACCAGTGGCCCAAGCCAAGCTCTCTCAGATCACCAAGTACAGTTTTCAAGCAGAGATCTGGAGAAGCCGGGGCAGGGCCGCCACTCAGTATCTGGTAGCTGGGCACAGTAGGCAGGAGGTAGAAGAGCTGAGGGGACGAGTATAATCGATGGACTGAATGTGGCTCCCTACAAACACCCTGGACCAGGCCCAGCACCCTGGACAAGTCTGGGCCTGAGCTCAGGCTCCAGCTGGCTTCTCAACCCATCTCTGCTGGTTCCCGGGCCCAGCAGCACTAGGAGAGAAAAGGTTCTAAATTCATCTACCTGTTGGGCAGGTATGGGCTATGCCCATAGCCAGAGAGCTGTGTTTTGGCTGTGGGATCCCCAGACAGTGGTCAGGGCATTCAATAACCCCAGCAATCCAACCCCTGCTCCCACCCTCAGCATGTATCGTGTTTCACATGGGCATCCTCTGTGCTCTGGCCCGATTCTGCCTGCTCTCCGGATCTACCCTGTACCCTGCGCAGCAGGAGCAGCACGCAGGCTTTAGTAGCTGACACACAGGCAGTGGTGGTCAGTGGGAGCCCACACTTGAGGGAGAGGTGGGATCCAGCTGCACCGTAACTTCTTGAACAAGTCTCTGCAACTCTCTGGGCCCATTTTCTGTTCTATAAAAAGGAAGAGGAGTTAATAGCTTAGCCACTCTCTGGGAACAGCACAAGAAGCCCAAAGTCATGCCAGCAATTTGTTTCTGAGGGGCCCAGGGACCGCCAGGGTCTGGACATCATCAGCCAATGCTCACACACTGTCGCAGCAGTGTGGAGTAGGCAGCACAGGAGTGAACCCCTCCAAATTCAGCCTGTGGAGGGGGGCTCTGAACAGCAGGGTGCTGGGGCTCCATGTAAGAAACGGTATCTTAGCACTGCTGTATGCCTTGCCTGGTGGTGTGTCCTTAGTGGAAGCTTTCAGAAGGAATAAAAAGTGGCCTTGACTTTGAGCCAGTCATTACAGTCCCAACCTAGAAACGCCAGGCTGCTGCTTGTCCGAGATTGCCTATAGCAAAGAACTCAAGTGTGGTCCTTGTGGTCCTCACCTCTGGCTAGGGGTCAAGACCCTGCACTGTGCAAGCCTGGGGGTGGGGGGAACTATGAGAGCAAAAGGGATAGAGAAATCCTTGGATGTCCTTGAAAGTCATTGGTAATGCTTTTCAAAGCCAAGTCTCAATTCTGTACTGACCCATCCTCCCAAAATGGGTCTGTGGCGATAAAAGGCTGTCCTTCTGTAAAAATGACACAAGAGCCCCAGCCACATGTCTACTCTCCCTGGCTCCCTGCAGCTGAGCCTGGAATCCAGAGAGGCAGGACCAGAGCTGATGGTGAGAAATTGTCTCTGCTTCCCTCCAAAACCCACCAGAATGGAGATCTGGAATATCATACCACCTTGCCTTGAGCTAAGAACTGTGACTTTATCTACAGTGACTGCTGGTGGCAGCCACAAGGTCTTTTATGATCTGCTGAAAGGCTTGTCCCTAGGGTAAAGGTTAAAGGGCAGTCTAACTAGGCCAGGGGGTGCTGTAACAGGGCCCCTTATGAATCCCTGTAGCTCAACGTGACTGAGGGCAAACTGGGAATAATGTTCTAGCCGTAAAAATGACTTCCTGAGGAGAAGAGAGAGAAGACAAGTCCACAGCAGTCTAAACCTCATGCCCCATTTCTTTCCTTATTTTCACACAGGTGCTTGTGGGATGGACAGACGTCAGAACACATACATTATGGACAAAGACTTCAAAGGTAGAGTATCCAATCCTGACATCCTATTAAAAAGGGCCTAGCAAGACAGAGTACAGAGCTGAACTGGCCAGGAAGCTCGCCCAAGAAACTGCATATTCCACTCCCCCAAGGGGAAAAAAAAAAAGCACCGGGGCATCTGGGTAAGCTCTGCCCAGGAGGAGCAATCATGATGATGAGTTCATCTTCCAATTTCAGTTGCACCTGCCTAGCAAATGCGTGTAGGTTTTTTAATAGATGCCAACTAAATGTCTTTGGAAATGTAGAGCGCCATTATCTAACCAATTAGTATGAGTTAAACTGATTATAAAATCTGAAATAAAGTTAATCTACCTGCCCCAGAGGCCTCCTGTTGTTGTGCTGGTGAGGAATGCCACCCCACACCTGCTGCCTTTCTGGGGCACAAGGAATCAAAATGATACCCACTGTTCAAGCTGTATGGGATTTGCACACTCAAGATCTTACCCCCAAGAGCAGTGAAGGCAGGACAAACTCCTTGCCCTCGGATCTTCCCCCTGGGAGGCCTACAGGTGAAGCCAGAAGTGGAAGGGCAAGTCCTGCCTCCAGATTAGGTCCTAGGTTTAAATGCCAGGTCTGTAAAACGGAAGGCTTTGATTCTGTCACTTATTAACTGTGACCTTAGACTGTGAGCTCCCTGGGGCTCAGTTCCATCTGCAGAGCTGGGATAATTATGCCTGTCCTATGTCTAATAAGGCTGTCACAAGTATCCAATAAAATCACAGATGGGAAGTGTTCTGCACATGATAAAGGTTGCACTAATGTAATGAGGATATCCTTTTGTCTCTGGGATCTATTAAAAGTGATTCAGCCAAACGACGACACATAGTTCAAAGAAGGTCCTAGATCTAGCTGTGTACCACAATCACTCTGAAAGTTTGTTAAGTGTCTCTCTGAGACTGATGCAGTAAGACAGAGTTGAGTCCTGGAATCTGTCATTTATGATGAAGACCTCAGGATACCCTTATGCTGCTTGGTATCCAACTATCATTTAGAAACCACTGATCTACACCGACCCAGACTCTATGTTTCGTTCAAGACACAACCATCTCCTAAAACTAGCTGTCTGCAGCCTCCAGGCAGATCATTAGAAGTGAGGCCATGAAGCGACAGGTGGCAAGTGACATGTTCTGAGAGAGTGAGCAGCAAGGAGCATCAGCATTTGTTAGCTAGGAACTTCTGAGAACAGGTCGCCAGACTCCATGCTGACCAATGGTACCCTTTGGGAGCTGGATTCTGACAATTTTCTGTTTTGACTTAAACCATCCAAATGCAGGCAAGCCCCATTTCACTAGCTGAGGTGGAATACTGAAACTCAAAAGGCAGCTCTCCCATTTCCTTATGGTGACCTCAGTTTCTTTCACAAACAAGTCGGGGTTTGGGCAGAAAGCTCTCTATGGGCCTTTCTGGCTTGGAGAATAGGCATGACTCAAGTGTGAGTAAGCCCAGGCAGGCCCAGACAGCTTTCCACGCACTGTGCCGTCCTCTGTGTTGCAATGAGGGTAGCTACTTTTAGACTCGAAACCGTAAGTGTACAGCAACACTGAAGAAAGCAGAGTCTCTGCCTTGGCGTCACTGCATTCCTCTTTTATGAAATCATACATCTGAGCCTCAGCACCAAGGACCTTAGTGGGTGGGCAGCCCGGTTTCATCTCATCACGCTGGCTGTAATCGTCCTTTAACTCCGAGACAAGAGTATTGTGGAGGTAAATGTGCCGGCAGGAGCAAGAGAACTCAAAAGGAGAAAAGTGAAATACCACAGTTCAGAACTTGACACAAGTATTTACGAAAGATGTGAACTAAATTCCACCTACTGGTTAAGCCCATTAAACCATTGCCAAGAGAAAGGCTGTGAAGTGTGCTCTGAAGTCAGTGGGGAAAGCCCTTGTCCAGGAACTAGGAGAGCTGGGCTGCAGCTGTCACCGTGTGGCACCACCTAGGCCACACCCAGGCCCCAGCATGACCACTGCGCCTCTTTGAAGGCAGTTGCCCCAGCTTCCTCGAAGGTGACTCCCAGCCCCGGCACTCCTAGCCTTAATTCAGTCAACAGCCAATGGGTTCTGCTCACCACCATCCTGGAGGTCTGTCTGCATCCTTCAGCACCTGGTTCTGCAATTCCAGGTGCCACAGAGGAAGCCCTCCCAGCTATGTGCTGTCCCCCACCGAGGCCCACTTCTGTCCCGCTTTCTCCATGCATAGCTCCTTTGCCTGCAAGCGCCCCGTGAGTTTTCCCACGAAAGAACCCACAGTTGTTAGGTAACTGGGAGCCCACTGGCTTCTCAAACTCCTGTAGCCAGTTTTTTCTTGCTGACCCTGGGCCCACCCACTCCCCTTCCCTACAGCCTCTCCATCAAGAGGGAGATGTTTACTGCCCAGGAACAGAACCAGTGTGGCCTCCTATTAACAGCATTAGACCTAGGGGCATGGTGGTACAGCACTCTGGGAAGCTGAGGCAGGAGGACCACAAGTTTAAGTGCCACCTGAACATCTTTGAGAGACATTGTCTCAAATGGATATAGCTCAGTGTGAAAGCCCTGGGTCAACCTCAGAACGATTTAAAAAAAAATCACTGGCCATACAGCATGGTCCTTGGTTCTGCCCACACTTGACTTGGGTCTTAAGTGGATGTCAGACTCCTGGTGAGTTCACAGCCCACTCATGAGGCAACTTTAGAGAGGCATTTCCTCAGCTTTGTGCTTCCCTTGTAAAATGAAGATGTTCAGTTCATTTCAGAAGCCCCTCTGTCTCCTGGATATGACCACCAGTGCCTTGAGGCAGCAGGAAATCATGGGAGCAAATGCCAAGGCATTTTACAAGGCTCAACCTTCCATCTCAATGCTGATTACCAGCCCAGGGGCTGCAGCTTCCCCTTAATTTGCAAAATGCTCTCAAGGGGAGGGGCAGGGAGGGACTGGGCTGGGGTGGGGCTGTAAAGGATGAGGAAGTGAGGGCAGCTGTTGTTCTCTTCCCTCTCAGCAGGTCCCTCGTGTGCAGGCAGGTGTAGGACTCAGCTGGAGGAGAGACCCGCTGCCTGGGGCAGAGTCCACAGCTGGCCCTGCCCTTCCCTCCAGTTCTTAGCAGATGCCTATCCAGCCACTAGGCCACCCAACACACACTGGAAATTTCTTTATTCTTGTATCTGCCTCCAGCCCATGTATGAAAAGATGATTCCGCCTGAGTCCAATCCCAGCCACCCAACCTCGATACCTCTTGCTATCAGGTGTTTCTGTTGCTGAAAAAGCCAACAATGTACAGTATTCTCTAAAGGCCCTGAAAGCAGCTCTGACTTTCTGGTGCTGGCTGAGGCACTTCTAGGCATTAAGCTTTTCCACTGGTAGAACTCTGGCCTGGGATACCTGTGAGAAGCATGATGTACAAGTGTCCTTGTTGGGGAGTACAGTAGAGCATCTGCAGTTGACATTTAGATACAAGGACTGGAGTTTTAATAGCAAGACTCCTGAGGAAGAAACCTCTCGACTGGCTATCAAAGAAGACTTGGGTTGAGTCCTAAGTGAACCACTTACCAACATACTGACAAACTCACCTAATCACATTCCTTCCAACCTTCTAACCTCCTTTCACGGATATGGCGAGCTTCCAATGACCCATGTGGAATGAAGTCTAACATTAACTACTACACAAAGTAAGCTTTCACTGTTCTCAGAATTTTACAAAGTATGCAACCCAGCCAGCTGTGCTAGCCTTTTCTTTAAATAGTATTCAGCTTCCACAAAAGAAACCCCAAGATATTTTGCCTTACTCCTTGTCTGATGATGAGTTTGGAGAACCCAAGGCAGGACAGATGGGCCACCCTCTGGCTCTTGACCTCACCCCCACTCCCAAGAGGCAGACTCTGTAGGCTGGGGCATGGAGCTGGGGCCCACAGCCACCTTTGCCCTTGTGAACCTCCAATAGCTGGGCCTTCTCAGCCTCCCTTTAGTCCCTGCTGGAACTGCCTGAACCTGCTCACTGCAAGCAAGAATGTTTTCTCCTCCTCTTCTCTAGGGTCCTATGCCCTCAGAGTCACAATCCAAGACTAGACCAAAGCCAGCCTGCCTACTTATGGGTTAAGCACTAATGGAAAACACTGTAATTCTAGACTCTGACCTGCTACTGAGAGCAGGGTGACTCTGGGGAAGCCGGTACTATAGCTAAGTCCAGTCTCCTCGTAAGCAATAAGGTGGAGAGCAGAATAATAATGCCTGCTCTGCCTGTGTTGCACAGCATTGTGGATGCTTGAAGGAACTAAGAGGTACAAGTACTTTCATACAAGACCCAGGAAGTGTCAACCCACTAAAACAAACATTCCCACACCAACAGAAACTCCCTCCAACCACTGACCTGTCACTGGAGGAAAGCCTATTTGTGGCAGTGTCAGCTTAGCCATTTCAGTCACCCACAGCATTCTGTTCCCACTGGTCCAAGACACATCCCGGTAACCCTCGAGTTACGTCACTTTCACTGATCTCTAAAATTGGAGGCAGAAGATAAATGGGGAGGCACCCACAATGCAAATACGATGGTGACAATGGATTTCACTGTCACAGAAATGTAGAGCTGGCTGTCCTTTTGATCTCTTCTGACTAGCAAACCCCAACCCCCAAGGTTTGTTGCTGGGCTTAGGCTGCAGGAGCCCTCCGTACAGAGGTCAGAGCTCAGCTGGCTGCTTCTTCCAGATGAGTCCTGTCTCCTTGGGACAGTAATCCTCTTCCTCTAACGGGGAGTGGACTGTGTAAAGTCTTCCTCCAGCGCAGCCAGTTACCACGCTATGTGTTTGGAAACGAGTTTGCATCTTTCTGTACCCTAAAGTCTTTGATGAGGCAACTGGGAAGTGGCAGGAGGCAGCAGGACACTGCTAAAATGGGGTTCAGTCAACATTGATAAGAACTGCAGAAAGCAACCATCAACGACACGTTTACAAGCTTACTAGAAAACAGGAACTTTCGCAAAGCTAGCTTGAGGCTCAAGTGCTTTTTATACCTTTATTTTATTAGCTTTCAGTTTGCCCAGTTCTAATCATCCTGTAAGGCAGGGATGCTTAGCTTCCCACTTAAACTTGCTAAATTGCTGGCATCTACGCTGAAGCAGTTTTTGAGTTGAAATTAGAAAACTGCTGGGTGCAGTGCCACATGCCTGTAATAGCAGCACTCAGGAGGCTGAGGAAAGGGGATTGCAAGTTTGAAGCAGACCTGGGGTAGACACTACCCCCCCCCCGACACACACACACACACACGACATAGGCCAATGAATCCCAAAGCATGCATTTCAGTGTTGGCAAGGATATCTCTACTAGCTGGGTGACTTCAGCCAAGTCACTCTCTCTCTGGCCATGCATGCCATAAAACACAAGCTATCATTTGCAACAACTAAATATACAGGAAAGCATATTATGAGTGCCTTGAATTGGCATCTACTAACAACAATTTCCTATCTTCCAAAACACCTGCCTCTCTCAAAAAGCATACCTTAGAGACACTTAATAAATAAATCTTCCATTATCATAGGCTTTTCCAGCCCTAGGATCCCAAAGACACAGAAATTTGACAGCTGTTTCTAGTATTTATATGAAGACTTACATTCTTGCTTGTCCTAAAAAATCTCTCTTGCCTTGCAGATTACATGAAAGAATCCGTGTGCAGCTCTAGTACTTGTTCCTTGAATAGCAGTGAAAACCCTTATGCCACAATTAAGGACCCGCCCATTCTCCCCTGCAAGCTTCCAGAAAACAGCTACGTAGAAATGAAGTCACCTGTGCACAGGGGGTCTCCGTACACAGATGTGCCATCCTTGTCGACATCTAATAAAAATATATATGAAGTTGGTAGGTGTCTCAAATAAGTGAAAACTTAGTGAAATTGGGGCCAAAGTGCAGTACCTCAAGGAAAACCAAGCCCTCTACACTCGCCCTGTCTTCATAAAACACCCTTCTTTGGTTGCTTTTTAAGGAATACAAGGTGAACTCTTTGCTAATGCAGGAAATCAGACTCTTGTGCCAACTCTGCTTTAAAACACACGCGCGCACACACACACACACACACACACACACACGCACATATGCACCAGAATATGAAGCAGAACTAGGGTGGGGAATGGGTACATAGGCTTCAAATGATTACTGATAAAAATCTCAAAAAAAAAAATCAGAACCAATGCTTACACATTTCTGAATCATCTTCATAGTTTAAACTGTACTGCTGGGCTCACTGATAAGAACCTACTTCTATGACCCTAAATCACTTGGGGTTGGCCAGAGGCCAGGATTTCAACAGCACATTCCCTTAGGTTTTCCATACTTTCACAACAAGCCTCCAGCCTAGCTCTCATTGTCTGTCTAGATTTGTAGGCCTATCTCCTCTCCCCACCAAGTCAAACAGAACTCTCTGCCCTCCCAAGAAGGCAACCAAAGCTAACCTCTCTGAATTCATTTTTCACTATATTCCTTAGAGCCCACAGTCAGTGTGGTCCAAGAAGGCCGCGGTCATAACTCCAGCTATATCCAGAATCCATACGACATTCCTAGGAACAGCCATATTCCTGGTCACTATGACCTCCTCCCAGTAAGACAAAGCCCTGCCAGGGGGCCCTCCCAGGACAAGCAAGAGGGCTAAGCTTCTCTCTTGCAGCACGCTGAATATTCTCTGACTCTCGGAAAGAAGACAACCCCTTGACTTGAATACTGATACAGATTGGCTCCAGCTGCATATTACATTCACCTGGAACTAAAGAAGAGCTTCCAAATGGGACTTGGATAATTGTTCAAAGTCTGTAAACAAAGGCAAATCCTATCACCCACCCATCCCCCAGCCCTTAATGCCCTGGATTCTACAATTTCTAAAGCATTTAAGATACCACTACTCATCAACATCAGCTAAAATACATATATTTAACATTCTGAAATACGATGCTTAAAAAGCATGTAGCATAGCAAACCTTCCATGGAGGAAAAGGGGCCTGGGGAGACAAGTGGGTTAAAGCACCTGAAATGTATAGATACTTTTGGTTACTGTTACCATTGACATCTGTTTTATTGCTAAGATAATTAGTACACACACCACAAACTATTCTGTATTGGTCCTAAAATACCTGTACCTGTAGGTCTGTCCACTGAATTACAAGGGCCAAGATTACAGAATTCAATCTGATGCTGATGACCTCCATTTTTTTTTTTTTAAACAAGACTTTGAAGAAAGAAAAAAAAAAAATAGTTTCCAAATTGCAGTAGTTTCAGTCTACTGATTTCTAGGCCAGCTTTACCAAATTCTGCCAATTCTAATTGCCAGAACAGTGCAAGCCAGTCCCAATCATATTATCACCTTAAATCTGACACTTGATTCTGTCCACATGAAACAGGAAATAGGGCATAGAGATGCTGCTTTATCAAGTGATTAGTCGTAAACTAGTAAAAATTAAGTACCTTTAAAATTGGCCTAATTTATTTAGTTGGGATTCCTTGACTGTTTGCTTTCAAGCAGTTCTTTGTACATTTTGAGCTTGATGTATTATGGAACCAAAAAGTGTAGAGGAAATAAGACAAATGTGGGTACATCAAGTTTATGTTGCTTTTGCTTTATGCTTTTTGATGGCTAAATGACACTAATGTTCAAAGAAAGAATGGACTATATAACTAATTGCTGTAAATTGGTGTAAAATGTCACAGTAAACAACACAAGAGGATATAAAATGCTTAAAACCACCACATTCCAAGACGGCCAAATACATATTCCAACAAGCTAATGCTCCAGATCCCAGTGTCCGGATGGCCTGGACCTTCCACTACTAATGAACCAGGTCATTGAGGCATGGACGATGCCGAATGGAGCCAACCCCCAACCCTCCAGAGGACCTCTTCACAACAATGAAACGGGCAGACAATGGACGCTAATGACCACACTGATGCCACTGCATTCTGGTAATAGTCCAGCTAGTCAAAAACATATCTATAAAAGGTATAGAGAAGAAGTAAATGGCTGCAAGCTTGGAACATTGTTACCGGAAGTGCACCAGCTCTGAAACCCTTGGTGGAAACTGGAAGTCAGCCATGGTATTACTTTGGGCAACAGCAAAAGCAAGAACACTAATGAGGAAGCCCCCCCCCCCCATTTTACTCAAGGCATAGGCAAAGTTTAGTTAGAGGAAAATATACAATACTACATGAATGCTGCATGTGTGCATGGGCACGAGCAACTAGCAACAGTAAACTGACTTTCAAAAAAGCCTTATTAAGATATAAATACTAGAAAATTGCTTTGTAGGCCCAAATGCATATTTGTCATACATACATAGAAAGAACTAGAGATAAGAGACTTACCTCAGTATTTCAGGGCTGCAAATGCTCAATTATCTTTGTGAAGCAAGGAGGAAGAATCATGGCGAGGTTGGATCAGCAAAGAGAAACTGCATCTCAGACCCAGGTTTCATCTTCTCCCCTTATCTTGCATGCACAGTAACCGCTCCCTGGCGTACTGCAAACAAGCAGCATCGCTCGAGTTTCAACTTTTACCCATCTTTTGCCAACTACCCTCTGGGCAAGTGTCCAGCAAGAAGTGGAATGGCTAGAGCACTGGATCAGACAGATTTCTGGCAAGTACTGGCCCTCTTTGAGCTCCTTTATTGCCCTTGCCCCAAAATAACAGCAGAAGCAGAAAATATAAAAGGGAGCCCCAACAAACACTCAGCTCTAGCATTCTGACTTTTTAAAGCACTGTAGTACAACTCAGCTCAGACAACACAGAGAAGGGCAAGGCAAAGGATGTGAATAATGCAGGGTGACAACAGCTGCCTTCACACATCTAAGAGTTACTGATGAAAGACATTTCAACCTTACAGACCAACTGTGAGAAATTGTTCTCTAGCACTGTCACAAACAGGTTCATGGTCAGCCTACACAGGTGCACTGTGCATTTTACTGGTGACGTGGAATAATCTGTTTGCTATTTTTCAGAAACTACATTTTCAATCAAATTGATAGGCATACAATTCAGATGAAGAAAGCAACTGTATAATGGCATAAGAGACTATAAAATGGCAATACTTTTTTTAAACCACAGATTTGTAATATATTTGTTCACTGTGCAGAGGGATTGTACCTTGTACAAAATAAAATGAATTTCTCAAACTAATTGAACAAGAATGCCTGCTGTTTGTTGTATTACAAGCTGAAAACATGTGTATCCTCTACACTCCAGGGTTTTAGGTTTATTTTGTATGGTCAATTTAAGCCGCTGGAAGAGTGAGAATTATGTCAATATACGCTTAAAAATAGTAATGAAAAAGGTTGTAAAACAAGGTGTCTCTACCTTTAAAGTCATGAATGGGACCAGTATATTCTTACCACGTCAAAAGTACTTTAAAAGTGTAAACACATCTGCCTTCCCAAATATGTGTACTCAGAGATGTCTATGATAGCTATGCTCGGCTCCAGAGGCACAAAGGTGGGTAAAACAAAACCAGGAACAGAGGACAAAGGTCGTCCTAGGCAATGGAAAAAGGGCAAGTACAAGAACTACTTAATTGATATAAATCCTGCAAACAGCTCTCTACTAGAAGTTCTCATCCAGTACAGTCACTCTGTCTTATGACCTTTTAAAACAACCTTCTGGGGCCAGGGATATAGCTCAGTGGCATAAGTGGCTGCCTGGCAAGTGCAAGGTTCTGAGTTCGATTGTCCTTACCAAAAAACACATACATACATAGATACATACAAAAACATAGCCTTTTGAGCTGACAGAAAACCAACAGGATTCATTGTATAATAAAATAAAGTAAAAAAGAAATAAATAAAAAAACTTATTGAAAGCAGTAAGTTTAAACTTCTCAAATGTACATAAATCTCATATTTGGGCCAAACCAAAATATTCCAGCCTGCCAGTCATAAGGTTTATGTGACACTCAAAAGTTATTTCAATTTAATATGATGTTTAACCAAAAATAACAGAGTTTTCTGATTAGAATAACACTAATTCAGAACAGATCAACAGGTAACTGTCTGGGGCTGGGGATTTATATCTAGTAAAAGGCAAAACATAGTAAGGGATTAAGGCTAAAAAAGGAGTTTATTCTCAATAATTTAAAATTATGTCCTGTTAGTCTCAGAATACTAAGTTACCCAGTACCATAAATGGTAACCATTTATGGTCGACAGCTGTGAGCTTTGCACTCAGTATAAGATGACTTAGGAAGGATATATTCTACTAGTCACTCATCTGACCAGAAAGACAGAAGGGGCCCATTTAATCAGTGTGAGAGGAGATGGAAAATCTTGCTAAGAGGTACGGACTGATGGACACATGGGGGTTCATTATACTATTACTTATACTTCTGTATTTTTAAACATTTATAGAATTGTAACATGTAATTACAGATCTGTAATTTTAATAAAAAAAATTTTTTTTTACTTTTTCTTTAACTTTTTATTGGTACTGGGGATCGAACTCACGACCCCCTGCTTACAAGGCACGTGCTTATGCCACAGAGCTAAATCCCCAGCCCCTTAATAAAAATTTTTAAAACAAATGTTAATTCTCAGACTTTAGCCCCCCAAGCTACATCAGCATGAAGCCCAGGATCAGACCCCCTTCCCTCTTACACAGTCCACTCCTCTGCTCTGACACAGGGCTGCAAGGGGGCGGGCGGTATCATGAGCGTCAGTGTGCACAAAGCATATGCCCACCCTGAGGATCTTCACAGCTCGATGACTGCAAAAGGCCCGAGGTGAACAGAGGGCTTCGGTGATCAGTGGAGCACTGATGAGCTATCTTTTCCCTGGTCTTGCAGAGCTCCATACTGAGATGTAGTCTAATCCACACCCACGGCAGGCAGAAGCCACTGTCCAGCCCACAGATGGGTCCTTTTGGAGCCTGAGTACTTCAACTGGACTCCGGCACAGGACAGGAATACTGCTGGGTGCTAATTTTCACTCCCATCACTGGTGCTACTAAAGAGACTGGTTAACAGCCAATACAGAGGACATTTTATGTTCCTATCTCTCTCAAAAATTATCTATCCTGCTGGGGATTTAGCTCCGTGGCTTAAGTGCCTGCCTGACAAGCCCAAGGTTGTGAGTTCGATCCCCGGTATAAAAAAAAGAATTATCAATCCTGTTTAATAAATACGTAAGAACTAAATTAATGTTTCACCAAAAACTTGCCATACTGTGTGTAAACACCAACCTATACATTGGATTTAATCACTGGCTCTGTTGGATAGCTAGTTCTGTGGGTTGATCTACTTTCTTGTATATTTCTATACTAAAGAGATCATTTTTTAAAAATTTAAATACAAAATGCCTTTAAAAATTCTTGCCCAGACATGACTGTATTTCAAAGTAGGTATCAAAGTCAGCAGAACTGTTTAACAGCAGAAAACAAGCAGTCCTCAGACTGACAGCCGATGTAGCAGCCCATCAGATGCTCTTCCCCTTAGCACATCACAAAAACAGTTATTTGCTAATGTTCTGAAAAATTTCCTCTTATTCAATGCCATTAACAAAGAAATAACATTTTTAAGTTACTGTGATAAGACAAAAAACATTTTGCACGGTATATACTTGATTTATTTATCCATTAAGTTAGAGTGAGTTAGAATGTATAGTATTTTGGCTTTAGTATCTAAAGAGTTCATTCAGAGAATTACAGAATTAAAAGTTGGGACAAATCCCAGAAAGGCTCTAATCTAGTCCTATCATTAAGTGGAAGAACATTAATGCACAACTGTGATAGAACCTACTGTCACCCAGTCCAGTTCTGTATTACATCTACCATTACCAAGCGTGGTGGCACACACCTGTAATCCTAGCACTCGAGAGGCTGAGGCAGGAGGATCACTGTGAGTTGGAGGTCAACCTGGGTTATAGTGAGTTCAAGGCCAGCCAGAACTACACAGTGAAACTTGTCTCAAAAAACCTAAATAAGTAAATCTATAACTTGCAATGTTTAAGTCAAATAGTTTAGCGTATTTTCTAATAGATACCTTGAATGTATATATTATGCAAATACATTTAAAATTTCTGCCCACCAGCTCAACTTCTAACAAAACAAATACCCTTCCTCTAATCGTTTCCTTACATGTAAGACACAATGATATTAGCATGCTCTATCACTTACTGTCAGCACTGGCCTCCTGTGATTTGGGAGAACTCAGCCACTGTTTCAATTGTTAAAATGAACACTCCAGTTTCTCTTAAAACTGCATAGGCGCTCAGACACGCAGACCTGCCTAATCTTAGAAAGGTATGTGGCACCAGCACGGCCCAACCAGAAGAGAACAGTGCTCTCTTCTCTTTAGCAGGAGCCTCACGGCTCCTTGTGTCATCAGCCCACTAAGTGGCATGGTGAAAGAGACTCCTTTCACAGTCTTTCATCATTTTTTTTTTACAACACAATAAATGGAGATCACAGATAATCCTAAACAAAATTCACATTTTGTTTTGAATTTTTTCAGGTTTATGGTATGTGTAACCAATGAGATGACTGATTTCTGTTATTTTCCTGTGTTAAATAAAAGATGTTAAAGATCCACAAATTGAAACCTAACAAGTTGGATTAAGTTCTTGTGTGTATATGGTGATGGCCAAAAAATCTAAATATTTTTCTTTAAGCTAGATGAAAGAAATTATCCTAATAGTTGAAACCACTGAGAGTATTTCTATTTAATAAGTCAGCAAAGACAAAATTTAAGACATTCATTTTTCCAAAAACAAAAAAAAATACAATTAGATCTGATGTGCCCACACTTTTAAGAAATCTAACTTTTCTGTAGAATCCTTCAGGACTAAAAAGATCCCTGGCAAGACACTGGCTGACATCTCTTTTTACAATGACAATTTAGCACACTAAATGAAATGTCTAATAACTTACCCTTACCTAGTGGCAACTATTATTAAAAAGAAATCACACTTGAGACAACAACATTTAAGTTTAGATCAAGATACAAAGGCTAAATGACTTTTTCAGGATGATGTAACAGGTTAAAAGCATGTTCAATATTATGATAGCTGAAAAGGAGGATCAAGCCAGCAAAATACTGAAAAAACTTACTCTCAGTTTCAAATAAAACAGAGATGGAGACTTTTCCTGTGTCTTGTGATACTGTTACACATGGAAGTAAAGAAACTATTTCCCCATGTTTATTAATACCTCTCCCAAGAAAAACATAACTGAACTTGAGGTCTAATATCACACCGGAATTCAGACACTGATGCCCCAATTCAATGTGTACTTGATAATGCAAGTACTTGTGTGCTCACTCATCAGAATCAAGTATTCCAGCACTGCATGCAAAGGACTCAAAAGAAAATGTAATCTGACAACATAAAGAATAGACCCCCTATAACTGTTTATTAGAATGAGAATATATTCCAAATCAACAACTAAAAACAAAAACAAAAACAAAATCAAGTTACAGAGCATGCATAAAATACAAAGTAGCAATTTACAAATAGATAATAGTATCTTTATAACCAATACACTAAAACAGTAAAACGGCTACACAGGAAATGACAGACTACAGCAATGCCTTCCGTGCACTCCACACATCATGAGCACCGCAAAAGACAGATTAACTATGAAACATAGTAAATCTATGCAAGCCCACACAGATATAGTTTTTGATATCCCATCAACCTGAAGTTATCACTGCAGTTGACAACATTCAGTAAACTGCAGAGAAGTGCTTAATATTATCCACAGAAGGAAGTAAAACTATTAGTGTGCACATTTCTGAATGAGGAACTAGTTGTTCCATTGATTTCAATAATGTAGTGGAAAAAAATGACTTCAGGTCTCTATAATGCCTAAATGCATTCTATTTAAACTCAAGGTACTATTTCATTTTACATACTAAAGAATACATGCCTTTAAGTGGTACCACTTGAGCATAAATTAACCTCTCACTGTATCCTTTAGACATACTAAAACCAAAGATTTAACTAGACTATATTCCATTATACACTGCAAAACTCAAATATAAGCATTGCTAAAACGATCACCCATGCCTGCTGGTGGATATGGTGATAAAACTAGGCTGTATTTCACTTACTGGAAGGTTTTTAAACAAAATTAACATTTAAAATTTGATATTACCAGCATTAAACCAGTTATTGCCTGAGCAATAAAATGCCACATAATCTATGGCTGGGAGATGAGATCAACTAAATGACTTGGGCTGCCTGATCACTGCAGAAGAGACCCTTCAGAAGGAATTCTGCTGGTCTCTAGTTCCTGGCCTGCCAGGCGGCACTGTTTTAACTTATTGGCCCCATAACCATAACCCCAACCCAAACTGTAACAGTCTTTTGTGTTTATTAGGATAATTCTTGTCTGGAAAAAAAGTGCCCTCCTTTCTAATCAACTTTGAGGCTTACAAAAAATTAAATCAAAATGTACTAAACTACATAAACCTATTAAGGCATTTTAGAAATTGACTTCCAGAATAATGGAAAATTTTCACAAAATCCTGCTATGTTTACAGGGCAAGTCTCAGATTTGTTGAAATATACACTGCACTGAGAGGAGAGTGGACTACTTCTAAGTGGCTCTGTGGCAAAATAATAGCTTATTTCTAAGGTCTTCTTCATTTGATTTGATCAAGACCAGTGGGTCTGAGCTTCAAGTGAACAAGTTCAACTAAGTCCTACAGAGACAGGTTTTCATGATGAAAAGTAAACAATAACTGAGGAATTCAAACGTTCAATTTATTAAACTAAGGCCAGTGAAGCCATAGCATGGGAAAAAAACTGCAGTTATTCGGGACAAAGTGGATGATTTTATAAAGATAAAATCAAAAGACTTAAGACACGGGAGAATTCATTAAGTGTGAGGAAGTAAAGTAATCAAACACAAAAGTGACCACAGGAATTACAAATATATTTAAACCTCAGACCTGGGAAATGGACTATACACAGCCTTCTGGGGGAGGAGAGAGACGCGTCAGATGTTCTGACAGCACTGCACCTTTGGCTTGTTTTCAGTGGTTGGCGGAACATGAATGGGAACCACGTTGTTGCTAGGAGACATGTCATTTTCGCGTCTGTCTGACATTTGCTTCTGAGAGACAATACGGTATATCTCTGAAAAAGAGAAAAATATTTAAGAGTAAATCCATGCAGAGTTACTATAAAACACATGATAGCAGATACACCCTACAGAAAATATGTAAGTTTAACATTTTACTTTCAAAGAGCCACTAATTAGAACAAACCATTATTTTAAAATTTTCCCTTTCCTGCCAGCACACTGCCACATGCCTATAATCCTAGCACCTGGGAGACTGAGGCAGGAGGATTGCCAAGAATTGAAGGTTAGCCTGAACTACATAGTCAAACACTGTTTCAAAACAAAACACAAAAATTTTCTTTTCATAAAAAAAGAAAAGAGCTGGACTGGGGATTCAGCTCAGTGGCACAAGTGCCTGCCTTGCAAGCATGCAGTCATGAGTTCGATGCCAATCAAAGTATCAGAAAAAAAAAAAAAAAAAAAAAAGAAAGAGCTTTTCCATTTTAAAAGGAAAGATTAGCATGTCAGTAAAATATTGTTTTAAAGAATGTTACAGTTTACAGACATAGATCTGAAATAAATCATTTAAGTATTTTTATCCTACTACTTTTTCAGTCTACCTTTATAAAAAAAGCCTGCATACATTGACATTGTATATATAAATAAATCTGCACTATCAGATACATCTTGTATTTTTTCTAGGCTGTGTATGGAAAGCACAACTTCCTAAACATGATAAAGTCTCAAAGGAGAGAAGGGAGAACCTAATGTGTTTATTAGGGATCTCCTGAATTAAAGTTAAAAGGTATTATTCAAAAGAGGCAACTTATTTTATGGGCATACACTTTCATGACACTGTAATCAACTTAATATGTAAACTAACACAGTGGTTAGAATATACCCTTGTTTGCTTTTGCGGGGGTCAGGGACAGGCAGGCAAAATTTATACCTGAGAAGGTTGTGGAGAAAAGAGGGGAAAACCCGTGACAATAAAGGTAAGTGGCTGAATAAAATTTTTAAAAATACACACACAAGAGTCTTCATTTAGACTCTTCTGATTGAAAAGGAAGGGATGGGAGTGTGTCAAGATAAAGGAAAAGAATTCACTCTTCGTGTAATTACGCTAGTGACTAAGAAATAAAGATAATCATCAATTTGTGGTTAAACTGTACCTTTCATTCTGCGTTTTCTAATGCCAAATTGGCTGGATTTTCTTGTTCAACGGCAAATGACTAAATGTGACCCCTGTCAGTTTTAACTTCTTTACTAGTTGTTTTGAAGATTCAGTTAAGGAAAGACGAAACAAAAATTCCTTCAGACTCTATAATACATATAATACTGGAAGAAGCAAAGGCAGACCTCATGGAACACAAGAGAAGTAAATAATTAAAGAGGTCTCTCTACAAAGCAAGGCATTTGAGCAGTGTTGTGTAACTGCCTGCAAGCGCTGCCCTCTTTCAGAAACGGATTACTGCTGCATCGCTCCAGTCACCAGAGATGACTGCTAATAAAAACGCTGGAAGGCAATAAAAAGATAACTATTGGCCAGAAAATTAGGAACAAAACTTTTTCTGCAGGTGTAATCAGTTCTAAGCAGCTCCCAAATAATTTAAATCTCTTAGGGCTTGGTGTGTCATTAACAAAAAAAAAGAAAAAGAACTTGGATAAGAAAATAGGAAGCAGGTACTTTCCAGCTGGTACAGTATCTGATTAGAAACGATTAGCATTCCAGTGGGAGAAGGATCTTGGGACAAGTAACTTGCTAAACCAGAGGCAAGTACTGTATTTCCCTCTTTCAAGGGCATGGTCTTACTGAATGGGACACACTTAATTCCTGTGCAATTCCTTTTCAAAATGTCCAGAGCTTAGTTATGATTAGAAAGAAAAGGACTTCTGCTTTAATGTTCTATTAGAATCTCGTGTAGAAGATCCAAATATAAAGTAACATTAATGTAAAGTAGCTCTAAATATAATGAGGCAAAGCTAATAAAAATGACATATGTCTTTTACTCTAATGGACATGTGAATCAAATAGCAACATAATTCTAAGGAAATTAAAGGCCAGGGTTTCCAATTAAGGAACAAGAAAAGTTAAAATTAATTCCTCCAAAAATTGTGAAAACAACACAAATCTATATTATTTCACTACAGCATAGGTAGAAACTTTTGCTAGATCTCAAGTCCCCTGTTCACCACTAAGTTTCTCAAAGGTCAAAAAACATCCAGGAGCCAGGCGTGGGGGCTCACGCCTGTAATCCCAACACTTCGGAGGCTGAGGTGGGACCGCTGCAAGTTCGAGACCAGCCTGGGCTACAAAGTGAGCTCAAGGCCAGCCTGAACTGCATAGCGAGACCTCGTCTCAAAAAAGACCAAAAAAAAAAAAAAAAAAAAAAAACCATCCTGAAGCCAGGTGTTGGTGATACACACCTGCAACCCTAGCACTTGAGAGGCTAACGCAGGAAGACTTGCCTAGAGTCCTCAAGGCCAGCCTGAACCGCACCGCAAGACCCTGTCTCACAACAAACAAGCAAATGGAAAATTCTGATTTTATATATTCACATGTATTTAAAGTAAGGCTCTCATGTGCCAAGAAAAACAGCTACCTACACTTAATTTAAAAAATTCTAACTAAAGTGATAAATCAATAGTTGAAAACTATACCCTCTCCCATACCTCCATTCCTTTTTTTTGGTGATAGGGATTGAACCCAGGGCCTTTGTACTAAGTTACATTTACACACACACACACCATCTTCTTTTGAAACAGGGTCTTTCTAAGTGGCTAAATTGCTCAGGTTGGGTTTCAATTTACACACAGGGCTCAGATTTACAGGCTTGTGCCACCACCCTGATTTAGCATCCCTCCTCTTTAAAGAGGCAATAAGCTAAGTGTAATAAAATTTTCTCAGCCACAGAATTAAGAATTTACTCTTTACACTAAAAAGGTACATTGGACTTACTAAGTATACGGAGAAATCTGGCAAATATCACTTTAAACAAGTAATCAAAGTTACCGATACCAGTAATAAGTAAGACTGGCTCAATATCACAAGCCTCCTGATAGGATGTATTGAAACCACTTCTGTGGCAATCCTGCTGTAAGTCTACAATCTGAATTTAATCATGGAGAAATCATTGTATGGAATGTCCCAACAGTAAAGACTGCCTGAAAATTCCTTTTAAGTAAGGTTTTCATTGACCTTACAGATTCACAGACCATTAAGGTGACTCAACTCACCTTTTAAAACACTATGACGCTAGATATGGTGGCACACAACTGTAATCCCAGCACTCAGGAGGCTGAGGCTGGAGGATCACTGGGAGTTTGAGATCAGCCTAGACTACACAGCGAGTTTAAGGCCAGGCCAGTCCCACTGTGAATCTTAGGACCAGGGGGGTTCAATGACTTGAGTTACACAGCCTATGTATAAAAGTCCAGAACTCCTTGGTCTCAATCTAGTACTCTGCACGTTGATTCAATGGAATTCATGCAAGAAGTAATAAAGAAAAAGGTAGGACTTGCAAATTTTGAAATTTGTTCTCTTGAAACAACTAGTAGTGAGACTTGACACAGAAAAGATTCTAAATTACTGTGCTCCAAAAATGTTTATCTGACCCTAGATCTAGTTATGATTACTGTTTTCTGATAACAGAAAATTGAAATGATGGCATATAAATCACTGATAATTATTTTAAGTAAGTTTTTTTTCATGCCTTACTAGTTAAGTACTAATTTATTCATTTTCACTATGTAACAGGATAAAGTTTTTTCTTTTGTTTTTTTGAGACAGTCACTATACAGTTCAAGCAAGGTGGCTTTGAATTCAGTGATCCTCCTGCCTCAGCCTTCAGAGTGCTACCATTACAGGTATGCACTACTATATTCAGCTAAGCTCTTTACAAGCACTAACTCATTCTGATACTTGATATCTATAGCAAATGTCTCAGTGATAAACCACTTTGCTGGGTGTTAAGAGAAACAAAAATCTTTAAGCAGCATTAACAGTCAAATTAAATCATATCACAAGATTTTAAAAATATAAGTCCTCTCTCAAGAAGGAAATAACTCTCAAAACGTATCTGAACTTTACACATGAAAAAATTAAGGCCTATATGAGCACAATTATATGCTTGTAATCCCAGGACTCTGGGAAGCTGAGGTAAGAAGATCATAGTCTCAAACAAAGCCAAACAACTTAGAAGACCCTTCTCAAAAAAGGAAGGGCAAGCCGGGCGTGGTGGTTTACGCCTGTAATCCCAGCACGCAGGAGGATCTGCAAGAGATTGAGTTCGAAACCAGCCTAGGCTACAAAGTGAGCCCAAGACCAGCCTGAACTGCACAGCGAGACCCTGTCTCAAAAAGACAAAAAAAGAAAAAAAAAAAAAAAGGAAGGGCAGGGGGTCTGAGGAAGCAGGCCCTGGGTTCAATTCCACTACTGAGGAAAAAAGCTTAAGGCCTAAATTGGTTAAATAATTTGCCTAGGATTATAAAGTTAAGTGAAGAAAACAGGACTAGATCCCAAGTTGAGATTCCAGGCCCATGTGCTTCATTCTTTGGCTTTACTCCTTTCATTTTTACAGAAATACAGTTAAAAACCTGTTTCCCTCTAACATACACATTGTACTAAATTAGAACTTATTACAATATAGCCAAAAAGTAATTTAAACAATTCTATTTTGGACTTCTCAGGCCACTCAAAACTATATATTAAGACTATATTCTAATTCATGAATTCTCAAAAGTAATTCAGGAGTTCTTAAAAACAACCCATCAAGGTACTTATTAAAGAATTAAGACCAAATTTACTGAAATCTGGTCATTCTAATAAAGTCAGAGTAAATATGAGTCAGCACAAATAAAACCCTCCTCTTATCCAGGTGCGTGACCTGGTTATCTCCACTCCCAAACAGCATGAACTCTGTCCCTCTCCCATTGCTAGTTTAAGCTTCTCTAGGTACAATCACTGGCTGCTTTCAACTATAAGTGACACCTTGCTGCTTCACTTAAATTTTTAAAATTGTATTTTTTTAGCTTTTTCCACAAACCATTCTTTTCTGTGGGAAGACAAAGGGGTGCTTACATCTGTCTATAACTGGGATCTCAAAATTTATCTCCTGAAAACACATTTTAAAAAACAAAGTACATTTAAACATAACTTTATGCTGTATAGGATACATGTAAACCAGATGAATAAGGATAACTGAAGTTTAATGAGCAAGGGTTGTAACTAATTTGCCCTTTAAACTGCTCTTACATTAGTAGTTCTCCTATGGTGCAACACACAATTTCCTGATTCATTTAAGTTACCTACCTAAAACTTCCATTTCCTACTGGTATAACCTGAAATGTAAGTCTTACCTGTTAGAATTGTTTGGAAAGCAGCTTCTACATTTGTCGAGTCTAGAGCAGATGTCTCAATGAATGACAAACCATTCTTTTCTATGGGAAGACACAAAAACCAGTCAAGTTTTGTTGTCCTGAGTTGTAGGGATCGAACCCAAGGCCTTAAACATACTGAGCAAGATTATTAACTCCAAGCCATACCCCACCCAAGATCTACTTCTAGCCAGAAGGCAACAATCCCACCCACCCCCGACACACACACCATGGTGCTAAGGATCTAATCAGAGCCTTGGCACATGTGAAGAAAGCATTTTACCAGTGAGCTGCACCCCTAGTCCCTGGCAGGTTTTAAAACAAGGGATAAGATATACTCAAGACCTTAAAAGGCAAACTGACAGAATCTTATTTTCTCAAGACCCTGCAACTTCTGGAACAGAAAGGACACTATTTATGTTTCAGGAAACTAAAATTAACAATGAAAATTTTTCATTGACTTAGTTAAAAATACTCCTCTCTAAATACTGCCACTAGAAATAAATGATACTATTCAAAAGGTAATAAACTTTTTAAATATCCAGCTATTTCGGTTCTTCACTTTGTTCTCTACTAACCACACAGCCACGGTATTCCCTTATAATTCTGCAGCTATTTGAAATAAAGCTCTCTCTCCTAGCAAGGCAATGGAGGCACATACCTATTATCCCCTGTACTTGGGAGGCTGAGGCAAAAGCATTGTAAATGCAAGGCCAGCCTGAGCAACGTAACAAGACCCTGGCCTGAAATAAGTTTTAAAAAGCACTGGAGGTGTACCTCTGTGGTAGAGAGCTTGCCTAGTATGCAGGAGACTCTGGGTTCAATCCTTTGCATAGACAAAGTGTTCTTCCCTGAGACATTAAAAATATTATTGAAAAAGTATTCACAATATAACCACTAGTATAAGATCATGACTTTTACTGGCCAAGAATATACAATGCTGCTTTCTGGAAGTTGTTCCTAACAAACATCCCTTTTACAATGGTGGCAAGAGACAGGGAGAGCTTCTATGGAGCCAGAAAAGTGACAGCTCCTAAGGAACTGTATCCTTGTTGGTCCCTGACACTACCTGGGATGTTGCTTTCCAGACCCACACACAGTGGCTATGGTAAAGAAAGGAGATGTAGATGAAAAGGGGAACAGCAAACACAAATTAATTGGTACGTTTCACATACCTCTTCAAGGAAGAAAAAAGAGGATGACATTTGTATTTAATTATTGGCAGCAAAAATTCAAAAAATTAACGTTTTAAGAACCTGAAATTAAACAAAAGAGCTATACACAAATTTTCAAAACAGTAATTCTTGCTGAATATTCATGTTAGCCTTTCTGAAACTATTACAACCTATCCCTTCATTGGAAGGATATGCAAACAGAATCACTAAACAATGGAATCCACGTTACTAACCTGCAAAGGCTCTGGCTTCATCTGTGGGAACTGCCCTGAGATGACGTAAATCACTCTTATTGCCCACAAGCATGATAACAATGTTACTATCAGCATGGTCTCTCAGTTCTTTCAGCCACCGCTCTACATTTTCATATGTGAGATGTTTAGCAATGTCATAGACCAGTAAGGCACCTACAGCTCCACGATAGTACCTGCAAACAGCAGAGAAAAAAAAAAAAAAACAAGATAGAAGTGACCACCAGAACTCAAGATACGGAATATACCTTTTTAAAAATGCTCATAAATTTCTAAGAATTCCAAATACTGGAATCCTTAAAAAAAAAAAAAAAAAAAAAAAAAAAAAAAAAAAAAAAGTATAGTAATCCCACTTAATGTGCATTCCAGTTTCCATTCTTCAGAGTCAACTACAGTCCAAATATATTAGATAGAAACCTCCAAAAATAAACAACTCCTAACTTTTAAAGTAATGCTATCCTAGGCACTGGGGAAGCGGCACAGTACCTGCCTGGCAAGCAAGAGGTCATGAGTTTGATCCCCAGTACCAAATAAATAAATAATCTGAATTTTAAAAAATTTTTAAAAATTTAAAAGTAGAAAAACTAATGCTACCCTAGGCAGTTTGATGAATTCTCTTAGTCCCAACTCCCCCTAGGCCAACTACCTGTCCATTAGTCACCTGCAGCTCTCTGGGCTATCAGATCAACTGTCAAGAGTATCGCAGTGCTTGTGTTCTGGTAACCTCATTATAAGGTCTCTTGTCCAAAGCAAGAGATGCTGGCAATTTAGACATGCCCAAAACAGCCATAAAGCAAAGATACAGGGTTCAGTGTTATCCATGGTTTCACTCTCTCACTATGTCTCGCATTCTAGAGGAGAGTGAAAGACCACTTCATATTTCCAATACCCGAAATCACAATTCACTTGATGGCAACCTATGGCACAGAACTTAAAAACTCCAAGACTTACGCTGATGTTATAGCTCGGTATCGTTCTTGTCCTGCTGTATCCCATATCTGTGCCTTTATTGTTTTCCCATCAACCTGGATGCTTCTTGTTGCAAACTCTACTCCAATGGTGCTCTTGCTCTCCAGATTAAACTCATTTCGAGTAAATCGAGACAGGAGATTACTCTTTCCAACACCAGAATCTCCAATAAGGACAACTGAAAACACAAATTAATGCTGGATGAATGAGGCAAATACATTCAGAAACATCTTTATGGTTTCACCAGAATAGACGTTCATGTAAGAAAAACGGGCATCTGATATTTAAAAAGAAATGGAGGAAGGGCATTAAGTCCATGTTCTTGACCTATTTCCAATTAATAAAACCAATTTATCCTTTTTAATCTATTTCTGCCTACATAAATGACTTCTACACATCATCATCTTAGCACAGATAGAGTACCCTATATTAAGCACAAAATTTTTGAGGGACAGGTATTGAACCAGGGCTTCATGCAAACTACGCAAGTGCTCTATCATTGAGCTACTTTCCACTCCTTAAAAACACAATTTTACCAAGGGGTTTAGCTCTGGGGCCTAAGTGCCTGCTTGGCAAACTCAAGGTCGTGAGTTCAATCCCCAGTACAAAAAAAATCTACACTTTCAGGCTGGGGATATGGCTCGGTGGCACAGCGCCTGCTGGCAACACACGGTCTTGTTCAATTCCTGGTACCAAGAAACAAACAAAATCGTAATTTTAATCATAAGTACACTAGACACACTGATGACAGGCATAATTACTATCAACACTGTAGCAACCTTTCTACTTTAGAAGGTAGTCATCTAAAAAGATAAATCCTATGCTAAATAAATAACCTGTGATATTAAAATGTATCAGACACAAACACAAAGAGCATTAGTGGGTGGGAAGGAAAAGAATAAGTATGTTCTACTTAGTTTTGTAGAAGACTAGGTGATGTGAGGACAGCTGGGCAAGATGAAACATTTAAAATATGACACATCAGAGTTACTAACTTTGCTGCTTCACTAACAGAACTATAATGACCTTTAATAGCTGCATTTTTACTAGGACAAAGCTAGAGACAGCCCCCCTCGACAGAGCCCTGCCTCCCTAAAAGCAGAGCCAGCCCTTAGGAAGCTAATCATTCACTTTTACTCCTGACTTCATGAAGTTTTTGAAAAGAGGTTTTGACTAGATGAACTTTCTTCTGTGATTTCTACAGGAGGCAGATATTCCCGGCCTCCTGCCCTTTTTAAAAGTTCTGAGATTAAGAGTCTTGCTGGGTCACAGTGTTGCCTGGGTGGGGCTGGAATTTGTGATCCTCCTGCTTCAGTCTCACAGTGCTGTGGGACAGTGCTGAGATTATCAATTTGAGTCATCACAACTAGCCACAAAGTAAATTTTTTACCCAGTTATCTGGGTACACCTAAGAATGTTTTTGAAATGGAAGAACAGGCAATTAAGACAAGCTGTCTTAAAGCATTTTTCTACAAAAATGTAAAGACCAAAACGAATTCACAGGTTTTCACAATCTGAGCAACGTTCTGTTTCATTTGTGAGAATTTTTATGGACATTTAGGAAACATTTATTCCCTCTGTTGATGACTAATGAATGCTTCTTCTTACCTGTCTAAACTAGCTGACAGATTTACACGCCAACACTAGAAAATCAGTCATGCACGCTTAATAACGCCAAGGAATAAGATCATGCCTCATTCAGAAGGCGGATCTAGTGGTGCAGGTAGGAAAAGAAGTAAAACCTGTAAAAGCTCACTGTACTCTAGCCAGAGGAAAAAACGAGTCCATTATGCATTCCTTTCTTGTCACAAGATCGGATATAAGCCCACCTCTGGACTATCTTGGACAGAGTACAGTATCAAATGCATATCTCGCTGGCTTCCTCTATCTGCTGACTCAGCAAAAACCACCCAGGCAGTGGTGACTCCATGCAACACACAGCAGCTCTCTCTAACTATAGTCAATTACAGGGTATTAAAGTGTTGTGGCTATGCTTTCATCCTAACGCCAAGGAAGGAGGATGTAAAGGTCACAAAAACAATATAGAAAATAAGGCTAGGTGTGATTGTACAGAGCTATATTTGCAGCACTCAGGAAGGAGGATCAGTCTGGGCTACCAAGTAAGATCAAAGCCAGTCTGCTCTGCAGAACAAGACCCTGCCTAAAAAAAAAAAAATTATAAATGCACTTTCAATCTTATCATTAGTTGACATTTCCAAGGTCTACCATTCTGGATGTGAAGTCGAGTCCCAGCTTCAGTAAAGTCCCAGCTTCAGTAAGAGACTTTACAAATTTATAGGTAAACAAAATAGGCAATAGGTAAAATAAAAAACCAATCTAAAATTAAAAAACAAAAACAAAACTTCATATATTCACTGTTGCGTCTTAGTCAAAGAGGCTGCAGATTCTGCTAAAGAAATCTTTAAAGGAATCACTTCTGCCCTCACACTATCAGGATACAAAATCCTTCTTGAGGAATAAACAGAAAAAGGAAGGGAAAACCCAAAGGATTACATTTTTACCTTATAGGGATTCCCCTACCATGCATTACTCAGGAATGGGTCACATAAATTAAGAGCAATGAGTACATATGAACAAGACATTTAGACCACCTCGGAAAATTACAGCAAAAGTAAAATCTCAAACCCTCTGCTCTCACAGAAGAAATTCTAACACCTTCAAGCTTGGACTTCTCTGTCAACCTCCACTCCTAACTAATGATTAAGTAAGTACCTTATCAAACCAAACTCAAATAGCCAGGGAATTTGTTTTCTCAAATTAATTAATTTTTTAACATTATAAAAATGCATTCATCTCAAAATAATACAAAACTCATGAGTGCTTTGTATACTACAAAAGTTATCTCAACTACACATGGACAGTACCACCAGGATTAAGACTAACAACCTGTTAAAGGGTACTTTAAATGACAACAAAAGATACTGCCACAAAGAGGCTATGAAGTGACCCAAGACAGTAAGCTGCTTCTTTTCAGCTACCAAAAAAAAAAAAAAAAAAAAAAAACAAAAACAGGTAAAGATTCCAGTTAGGCTAAACAAATATATGGATGGATGGATGAATGGAATCTAAATGCATGAATGGAATAAGTTATCTAAGCAACAACAGAGAATTTACTCTGATTTAAAAAAACAAAACTTCACAGCTTTCTTCATAGGATCACGTAAATTTCTAATCAAATAATTTTTTTCCTTTTCTCTTTTTTTTTTTTTTGGGGGGGGGCGGGTACCAGGACTCGAATTGACAATCTTGGGATTGCCAAGCAGGTGCTGTGCTGCTGAGTCATACCCCCAGCCCCTATTCAAATAATTTATAATCAAAATAGTTTTTCTAATTAAAATGACAATCCCTCCTATGCATGCTGAAGATAACCCAGGGCCTCCGGCATGCTAATAAGAAAAAGCTTTACCACCAGTGACCTAAATCTCCAACCCTTTAATTGTTGTTGAAATTTGAGAAACTATATAATCACATCTTACAGGATTTTTTTTAATGTTGTCTGTAACCAGTATCTAAGGTTAAAATTACTTCCATTTAAGAGTTTTACAATAATAGCTATGTACTAAATAACACAAACGTAAGGTAAATAACAGCATCTAGACATTAAGCATTGTTAGAATTCCTAAAGTAATATTTATCATCACTTGGTTAGCATCACCTGCTGAGTTTTAACATCATTTCTAAGATGTAATTCTCAATTTATATATAGTACATCCCTCAAACAGATTTCTAATTACTATAAAAAAAGAATACACATATTAATTATCCACTATTTAATAAAAAAACTTTCACCTCTTCAAACACATTTCAGACTTATGCTTTTTCTGGCAAATTAATGGAATAAAATTTAGTTTGTTACATCACAAGCATAACAGTTCAAAAACTTATCACCTGAAAGAATAACTGATCATTTTCATACTGTGGTTCATAACCTTGGAAGAGATTCGTACTCTCTCAATTATATTCATAGTCCAACAGCACAAAGTCTTGTTAGTTTGCTTTTTGTTGAGTCAGGGTCTCCTTAGATGGTCCAGGCTGGCCTTGCACTCACAATCTTTCTGCCTCAGCCTCCTAAATGCTGGGATTTGCCAAGCAAAGTCTTTAAAATAAAATGTATCCATTAAGGCTAAAGTCTACACAAGTTTTTCCAGATTCAGTGAATATGAGTTGCTCAACCAAAAATTGTAAAAGAAAAACTACCTGGACTGATTCCTATTTACCATTCTTTTGACCATCAGCTGATAGTTCATTACTACCGACTCTCAATGACACTGGAAAGAAAAACTCTGAAACCACAGACTATGTATCCAGATATATCCAGAAAATGTTACTTCACCTACACTAGAGTCTTCCACAGTATTTGTAAACAGGAATGAAAACTGATGCTTACTTCACTTGTGTCCCACACGGCCTTAACCCATCCTGCACTTATAAAATATGTTTTTAAAATTAAAAAGTTTTAGAATTCCCCCCCAAGGTTTCACTGTAGAAATTAACTAAAGATTAATATTCAAGAACAAATACTTAATTTAACATATATATCCTCGTCTCATGTTATATTCACATTTAAACTATTCCATCCCACACCAGTAAAAATATCCCTTCATTTGTCACTAAAACTCCCTTAACTACTAAGCTTGCTACGTAAGATTGCTTCAAAGTAGAGTTGAAGTTCATTTGAGTGAATAAATCTCTGTAGAATTAAATCACTTTACAAAGTTTTTTGCTTTGTTTTAAAATAACTGTAAATGAAAAATTGATTAATCAGCACTGAAGTAAAAAGCTAAAGTGATTCACATCCTGTAAGAGTTTTCAAAAAGTAAAAATTTTCAGCAGAATTTTTTCATTTTTTTGAGAGGGTTCCACTATGTGGCTCAGGATGGCCTTGAACTCTATAAACCCAGGCTGGCCTCAAACTCAGGGTGATACTTCTGCCTCAGCCTCCCAAACACTAGGATTACAAGCAGGAACCACCATGTCTGGCATAGCAGAATTTTTAATTAACTTAATGACCAGAAGGAACCCATAACCCATGTAAGTCCAAGTACTTTAGAAGTTTCCTAGTTTTATGTCTTCTTACTAATACACGCTCTGTGATTTACAAAAACTTAAGGTTTAAAAAACTGACAAGAATCACAGTAACTTTTTTCACATCATTACCATTTACTGAATCCTCCCATGAGCTAAAATTTCACAGCCTCACTTAGTTCTCACAACAGTCCTGAGAAGCAGGTATTGCAGAATTTCCTTTTTATAGTTGAGGGAACTGAGGCACAGGAAAAGTTAACTATCTCAAGATCACAAAGAAATACAACACCCGAGTCAGGAGCTGAACCCAAATCCATGTGATTCCAAACCTGTGTTCTCACTGTTAGGATGGTCTTCTTCCATAATTAAAATTCCCTAAACCAATCCAGGATAATTAACATCGTCATCGGGAAAAAACCACGTTCTATAACCAACATTCAAGTTCCAAACCAAATAGGAGAAATACTTTGACAGTCTATCTTGTTCTAAATAACTTCACAGAAGGCTAGCTGCATAAGCCACTAACTTACACAGTATTTTAAAAACAAACTTCTGTTTAACGACTAAATTTGGAAGTCTCCAGGGACTCAAGTAGTTTCATGTCATCTCAGATGCTTTCACAAAAAAAAAAAAAAAAAAAACGAGTATTCAAATAATTCAGGTCTCTTTTTCTACTTGAAAAATTAATTAAGTACCTTCTTATCTATAATTGACTTAAAATAGGAGAGTAAGGATGGCTACTGAAGGCACTTATCCTACTTAACAGGGTGTTTTGGTTTAGGGGAATAAGTGAAAGTAAGGACCATACACTAAACCAGTATACCGAGATTTGCAAAGTATTGGTAAAGCCAAGAAGTATTTCCGGATTCCTCTTGTCAATCATTCTTAGCATCCAATGATAAAGTCAGAAACAATCACCAATGTTTAACACTCTTCCAAACTCCACCCTGCACAGTAAAGCTTTCAATAGTAATGGCTTCTTCCTCCTTGGTAATGATCTTTGTTCAGCACACTACTGATGGCTGCCCTTCCAATTCGGGAGCGATGACAGACTAACAAAGTGAGACTGCATTCACAGAGCAAAAAAAGCACTTACTGTCCTCTCTTCCCACTCAAAGCTGTATCCTTCATCTTTGTTAGGTTAAAAAAAATTTTTTTTGGATCCCTTCCACACTCAACCAATACGCAATTATTTTCTCTCCATCTCCCCATCCTCCAATGTTGCACCCATGGGCACTTCATGTTTCCTTACCTTATAATATTTAATCACAGCAAAAGGGCATACAAATCCCCCCTCTCCGTTTCCAACCATTTGGGAAAGGCTGATAGCCAACTAGAGCTCTTCCCTTCCTGTTGGATCCTCCCAGCGTTGCAGCAGGAAGCAACCAGTCCGTAGTGATAAGCAAGCTAGTATTTGTGCAGCGCACAACCTTTCCTGTACAGGAACTGGGCCTTCAAGTCTGGCAAGGATAACAGCCACCACCCATCCGCAACCCCTTCTCGAAAGCCGAGGGAAGAGTTATCCCGGACTGATTAGGGCTAAGGAGGAACAGCGGGGATGGGGGGGGGGATTAAAAAAAAAGACTAGGTGGGAAGTCACAGCAGCCTGCCGGGTCACTGCGACAAGTGCGCGCGTGGGTATGGACAACCATTCGTGTCCTCCCTCGCGCCACCCCGAAAGCAAGGGACGGAAGGCAGAGGCAAAGTCGCCCATGGGCCGGGAGGGAGGGGACACGGGAAGATTACTAACCCTGGAACGGCGGGGAGGGGGCGGGGGGTCCGGCCTCCGGCCCCAGGACGGAAGGGACGGGGTGGGGCGCTTGGAGGGAAAGGGGAGTCTGGCGTGGGAGTCCGCGCCCCAGGAAAGGCCGGGAAGAGCGAAGGGCCCGTCAAAGGGACGGGAGGATGGGAGCCGGAGAGGGGAAGGAGGCGCTCAGCCCAAAAGGAGAGGTGGTGGGAGGGGCAGCAGGGCGGCGGAACCCCAGACAGGGGCTCCTCAATTTTGGAAAAGGACACCCAGCGAGGGGCTCTGCGTCGACGAAGGTCTTGGGGCCCAAGGAGAGACCCCCGGCGAGGGGCACGGGGAGAGCTGGCGGAGGGACAGCGGGACGGGAGGCGCGGGAAGGAAAGCTGAGGGAGGCCCCTTTAAGGTCGGCGGTGACCAGCACGCAGGTCCCCCGGGAATGTCCCAGGTCCCCGGACGAGGATTCGGCGGACAGTATGCAAGCCTCACCTTTGAAGAGGTAGTCGTACTCGTCGTCACGGGTGCCCATGGCGAGGCCGAGGAGCGAAGGGGCGGGAGCAGCGCCGGTAGCGGTGGGGACCAGGGGGCGTCGCTGCAGGGATAACCGTACCGCGGAGCCTCAACAGCCGGACCGGGGAAGAGCCCCTCCCTGCCGCTGCGTCACTTCCGGCGGGCCCCAGCCCCTGAGGGGAAGTACTTCCGGGTAGGCGGTGCTCGCCCCGCCCCGCCCCGCCCCGCCCCTGAGGCGTGAAACTTGGCCCTCTCCTCGCCAGGGTCTTCAAATACTCGGTCTCTAGGAGGCTCGTAGAGGGACGTGGAGGTGTGGGGTCCTTGGTGACTGCGGGCTGAGTTTCCCCTCGCACGTTCCTCGCGCTACCATGCCGGGAAGTGGTATTCTTATCTCAGGGTGGGGTTTGGCGTTGGGGCGGGGTTTCCTAAGGACTAGAGAAGCGAAGGCGGCCTCACAGGCATGGCGGTTCCATGGTGTAATGGTTAGCACTCTGGACTCTGAATCCAGCGATCCGAGTTCAAATCTCGGTGGAACCTGTGGCTCTCGCTTTTTGTTGCCATGTCCTTAATCTCACTAAGAAATGTAACCATTAATATCTATATCTAGCCTCGAATTAAGTAAAGTGTAATCTCTGCCTGTAAGAATTTAATGAATTTTCCCCTTCGACCCAGTAATTAGCCCCACACCCCGCCTCCAACCTTAACTCGGAAGTTTTCAATAAAAAGTGATTCGTTTTGCTAGAATTTTCTACCCCCAGCTTCGTCCAGGACAGGCGTGCCTCCCCCACTCCTTCACGGAAATCTCTCCAAACTATCTCCAGATGCCATGTAGAGAACTTCGCCCACCCTCCTCATCAAGATTCATCAAGAGCTGCTTGACTCCTGTTTGTTGGCCTCTGAGCTGAGCCGTCTACATAATTACCTCATTTAACACGTAGAGCAAAGGATGCAATTTCCATTTCAGCCGAAACGTCAGTGCTTAAGCTCAAGTGATTTGCTAAGGAATTTGCCGCAGAGCAGCCTTATTTGAAGGGAATTTTGTAAATCCAAAAAACCTTTCCCGCTCCCTGGGACACCCCTTCCACCTAGCTGCAAGCACTTAGCCTTTTGCATAAAAGTGCCTGGAGTAGGCAAAATAATCCCCCTCTTCATGTCTACGTTAGGTGTTCTGAAAACTCAAAGGTTGGTTACACAGCAAAGGGGAATTAAGTTTACAAATGGAATGAAGATTGCTAACCAAATGACCTTAAATAGGACTGTCTGAGTGGACTGCGCTGTCCTAACGGTCCTTTAGAAGCGGAAAAGCAGAACAGATCGGAGTGATGTCCTGTGAGAAGGCTTCAGCCAACCCTTACTAAGTAGTCTGAGAAGGTGGAGCCTAGAAATCTGGAAGCTTCTAGAAGCTCGCAAAGTCCCTCAAAGAGATTCTTCCCTGGGTTCCTAGAAGAAACAGAGTCCTTCCAACACCTTGGTTTTAATTCATTGCAGCCCATGACAGTCTTCTGACCTACAAACTATAGTCAATTTTCAGGATTTGCATCCCCAAATTGATGGTAATTTCTTACGGCAGCCATAGAAAAATAATACGAGCTTTTCCGTGCTTTTTCTGATAGTGATAGGAGGTTCAGCTGAGGTGCTTGGGCAGGTGTGGAGCATTTAAAAGGGAGATTCATTATATCAATTAAGCAGCCAGCTATTTGTGTGCTATGATAGAATATTATTCAGGCGGTCCCAGTGCTGCTCATGTTGGGTAGACATGATGAGCCCACAGGATGAGAGACTCAATAACTAAAGAGCATTCTGGTGTAAGTAAGTGGCACAGCTCAGAGAGACCGAAAGAATTGGGAAGAACTCTCTGGAGGAAGAGGAACTCGCACTGACCACCCCCCACCCCCCCCAGGAAGAAGGGAGGAAGGAAACTCATTTTGGGAAATTAGATTGTAAAAGCATATTGAGCAAGGCATTAATGCCAAAAGAATTGAGAACTTCTTCCCCTTAAGTCATTGTTTTTCAGTGTGTTCTGAGAAGGATGATTGTGTTCCTCAAAAGAAGGCCTGAGCAAATAAAGTGAGAACCATCCGTGCCTGCCCACTTCAGCTTCCCTTACGCCTGGACTTTTTAAGCTCTGTAACTAGTCTTCAGTGAATACTGAATATATATGTATGCCTGGTACTGGGGATTGAACCCAAGGAAAGTGGCACAAGTCCTGATGTCCAGGAATCAGGAAGAGGAAGGAGAGCTAGGGATAAGAAAATATTCTTTTAGGCCACACCCCCACTGACCCACCCTCTAGACTGCACAAGCCGCAGTGGGTAAATCCACTACTGTCTTAAGTACAGAGCCCTGTGATCTAATCCCCTTCAAAACATATTGGGAGGATATTTGAGATCTAAATCCTAATAGTAGAGATTGAAGCAAACCTGGTCTTAGGAAAAATAAACTGGCTGTAGAGTTCAGGGTTGGGACAAAAATTGGAGGTGCTAATATCAGAGATCTAATTGTAATCAGGGAGCACCAGCTAATAGAAAGGGAGATGTGACCAGAGAAGAAAATGCAAATGCTATTGTGGAAAACAAATAATAGATTTCATGGACAAAGAAAAGAAAAAAGGTTTTCTCTCCCTGTGGAGGGAGGAGGAGTGGTAAATTCTTGGTGTTTCTTTTTTAATCACTTAAAACATATGGGACTACATTGCTAATGTAAATTCTTTAAATAATATGGAAGTATATAGCAAAGCCTAAGGTTCTCCTCCACTACTTCAGTTCTCCTAACTCCAGAAATCAAGTGATTAATTATTGGCTGATTAATTTTTTAGTACTGGGGAATTGAACCCAGGACCTTACACATGATGTTAGACAATCAGTGTACTATTAAGCTCCACCCTCAACCACACACACACACACACACACACACACACACAGGATAAGTTTATGTGCTGTTTTTTTTTTTTTTTTTTATTGGTACCGGGGATCAAACTCACGACCATCTGCTTGAAAGGCAGGTGCTTATGCCGCTGAGCTAAATCCCCAGCCCCTGTGCTGTGTTCTTGGAATTGTTTTCTCATCACTGCACACAGACTGAAGGAATTTGCTGAGTAAATTTCCTCAGCAACAGTGTATCGTAGTTTGCACAAACCTTTCCATCCTGTTACCTGTGGATATGGCTGATGCAGAGGGTTTACTAAATAAAAACCTACTTTCAACCTTTTCTTCCTTACCCATCTCTCCTACCGAGGCTGGAAAAACCAACCACTCATTTGCCCGGCTCCCATGCCAAGAGTGGCCATAAGAGACAGTTCTAGCCAATCATTCACAAGCTTTGTTCTAAGGTGTTTAGGAAGGCTTTTTCTAGTATGATTTCTCCAAATCTATTATATGGTGTTTGACATTTTTTTTCATTCATTCATTCAGGGTCTCAGTATGTTGCCCAGGCTGGCCTTGAAATTCCTGGGCTCAAGTGATCCTCCTGTCTCAACTTTTGAAATTCCTAGGTGTATATGTCACCACACCTGGCTATTGCCTGACTTTTTACTTATAATATTTTTCCACATGAAAGTTTTAAATTTTTTTCCAGTACTGGGGATTGAACCTAGGGGGACTCTACGTCTGTGCTACATCTGACCCCTTTTTATTTATTCGTAAACAGGGTCTTGCTAAGTTGCCCGAGCTGGCCTTGAACTTACCATCTTCTTGCCTCAGCCTCCTGAGTAGCTAGAATGACCTAGCTAGATGTTTTAAGTTTCTATTTCATCAAATTTCTCTTGGTCATTTTTTAATGGTTTTTAGATGCTGTCTTTTGAATATGAAGGCTTCTCTATACTAAGATTACTCCAAAATTCTTGTTCTTCAAGTATTTTTAAAACTTTTTGCCCCATCTGGATTTTTATTTATGTCAATGATGATGTGAAATAGAGATCTAAATTAATTCTAAGTGAATAGTCATTTTGATATCGTTTCTTTGAATACTCCATCTCCTCCACCGATTTTAAATGCCTCTTATTATTAATGAATTCACTTAATTAATGAATGAATTAATGAAGCCTCAATTAATTAATGAATTAATGAATATGGAGTGTGTGCTTGAATTTTGCACCATACTTCTGCTGACCTCCAACACATGCTGTCCAAGAGAAACGTATGGTGAGAGGTAGAGTTGATTGTCAGCTTCTAGCTGCCACCTCCAGGATGCCGTGAGGCAGTCACAAGGAAGACATGCTCCCTGTGGATTGTTCCAGACGCTGTGCTGCTGGAGCAGAGCAGGAGTTGCAGAGCTGCTCCCCTTCTGTCCCCACTGGGGCTATTCTGATGGACAGTGTTTTCCCCTGAGCATCTCTTGCCTTTCTAATTCACTGGTGTCTGCTTTCACAGCATCTGCCCTGCTACTGTAACCTTCTTGGTCTAATGTCTATTCGTACAGTACTTCCATTATTTATAGCTGCATAGTGCAGCTCATCTGTGGATTGAGTAAATATTGCTGTAGTGCTCACAATAGTGTCTGACACATAGTAGGAGCCATATGTACAGGCTGAGAGCAAAAAGTACAGTGAATGTTTAAAAACCATTTTTAATCCCTCTCGGAATACTCCCCCTTGCTTTACCCACACTAACCCGATCCTTCTAGCCACTTTCTGAAGCACTTTGTTGGAAGTCCTCTTTAATGAATGTGGTTAGCAGTGCGGTCAAGGTTTCCTCATCCTGAATGGATTCTAAACATTTCCTTACTTGATCATTTTAACTTTGGGGAAGAACCAGAAGGTGAACAGTGCCATATCTAGTGAACTAGTGAATGAGGACACATGGTAATGTTTCCATTTGACAGAAATAACCATAAATGTTTTAAGTGATTGAACTGATTGAGAAAGCCGCAGAAAGAAAACTTGAAAGAGCACTTCCAGAACTGTTTCAGAAGGTGGCAAGAACCATGGGGTAAATGTGCTCAAAGAAAGGGAAGTACTTAGAGGGGGAGGAGGAATTAATGGCAATGTCTGTCACTGTAGTAAAATGTTTTTATTTTTAATTTAAGCATTCACTGTATTTTTATCACATCTCATATTTGGTAAATAAAAATGAATATGGTAATTTCTCATCTTGTTTTTTCATGTGGCAATTGTTTTGGTTTGTTTTTGGTTTTGGAGACAGAGTTTCACCATGTAGATCAGGCTGGCCTCAAGCTCACAGGG